GACATGGAAACAACCTAAATGTCCATCAACAGAGGAATGGATAAAGAAGATGTGATATATAAATATAATAGAATATTACTCAGCCATAAAAAGGAACAAAATTGGGTCTTTTGTAGAGACATGGATGGACCTAGAGACTGTCATACAGAGTGAAGTAAGTCAGAAAGAGAAAAACAAATATCATATATCAAAACATATATGTGGAATCTGAAAAAATTGGTATAGAGGATCTTATTTACAAAGCAGAAATAGAGACACAGATGTATGTTTGGATACCAAGGGGGAAAGGGGGGCGGTGGGATGAACTGGTAGACTGGGATTGACATATATACACTACTGATACTATGTATAAAACAGATAACTAATGAGAACCTACTGTATAGCACAGGGAACTCTATTCAGTGCTCTGTGGTGACCTAAATGAGAAGGAAATCCAAAAGAGAGGGGATATATGTATACATATAGATACATACAGCTGATTTACTTTGCTGTACAGTATAAACTAACATAATATTGTAAAGCAACTATATTCTAATAAAAATAAATAAATAATAGGCAAAAGATTACAGCAAACAGGAGAGGTTGTGGAGAAAGGGAACTCTCCTACACTGTTGGTATAAGCTGGTGCAGCCACCATAGAGAACAGTATTCTAAAAATATCAATAGAACTACCATACGATCCAGCAATCCTACTCCTGGGCATGCATCTGTAGAAAACTCTAATTGGAAAAGATACATGCACTCCAATGCTCACAGCAGCACTATTCACAATAGCCAAGACATGAAAGCAACCTAAGTGTCCATCAACAGATGAATGGATAAAGATGATGTGGCACATACATACAATGGGATATTATTCAGCCATAAGAAAGAATGAAATGATGTCATTTGCAGTAACACGGATGGACATAGAGACTGTCATACTAAGTGAATTAAGTCAGACAGAGAAAGACAAATACCATATGATGTCACTTATAAGTGGAATCTAAAATATGATACAAATGAACTTATTTACAAAAAAGAAAACAGACTCATAGACGTAGAAAACAAATTTATGGTTACCAAAGGGGAAAGGAGGTGAGGGGGGGATAAATTAGGAGATTGATATTAGCAGAGACAAACTACTATGTATATAAACAACAAGGGCCTACTGTATAGCACAAGGAATGATAGTCAATATCCTGTGATAAACCATAATGGAAAAGAATATGAAAAAGAATATATATGTATAAATGAATCACTTTGCTGTACAGCAGAAATTAACACATTGTAAATCAAGTATACTTCAATAAAATGTAAGTAAACATAAACATTTTCAAAATTCCTATATTGATAAATGAAAGAATACACTGTTAACAGTGTATAATGATGCCTTTAGCTAACTGAAATAATACCAACAGCTAAAATTTCTTGTAAGCTCACTATGCTCCAGGTACTCTAAACATATAGGTAGTTTCCCCAACTTACAGATAAGAGAACTGAGGTACAGGAAGGTTATGGGCCCAAGGTCAAGCATCTATTAAGGGACAGCCAAGATTCAAAGGCAGGTGTGGCCACAAACTCCTAACCCCACCTGTGCCTCATTGGCTTGACCCAGTGCCCGCGGGTGGGGAAGTGTGCGGACGTGAGCGTGTGGCCACCAGCGTGTGGACACGGTCTGGCCAGCCGCCCCTCAGAGGGCCCCATAGTCCCAGGGATGTCCCAGATCCCAGAGTCATGGTGGGGCACTGGGCTTGCACACCCAGAAATTAAAAACAAACAAAAAAAGATTACAGCAAACAATTCACCAAAGAAGATATATATATGTATGCATATATATATATATATATATATACAGTAAATGTATATAAATACAAGAAATACAAGAAAAGATTCCCAACATCACTAGTCATTATAGAAATACAAATAAAATCTACAATGAGCACCACTAGACGGCCACTAGAATGGTTATAATTAAAAAGAGCAACCCCAGCAAGTGCTGGTGAGGCCATGGTGCAATTGGAACACTGACACGCTGCTTGTAAAAACATAAATGGTACATCCGCTTTGGAAGCAGTTTGGTAGTTTCTTAAATATTAAACTTACACCTGCCACATGTTGCAGCCATTTCACCCCTAGTTGGAACTTCACCCCAGAGAAATGGCAGCATGTGTCCATACAAAGATGTAGACACTGATGTTCACAGCAGCTCTATTTCTAACAGCCCCAAACTACAATAACCCAGGAGTTCCTCAGCAGCCGACGGATGGATGGATTGTGGTATATCCATACAATGGAATATGCATAGACTATATTAAGACAGGCAACAACATGAATAAATCTCAAAATTTTATGTTGCATGAAAGAAGCCACACCCTCTCCCTCAAAAAATAAAACATACTGTAAGCCCATTTATGGGCTTAAATGAAGAGATCTGCTATTTCTCTCAGCATCCACACTCTACTGGCTTTCCCTGTGCCTCTCTGGTCCCTCTGCTGGTAGATGTTCTAACCAACAACCAAATGTCAGAGTTCTTCAAGGCTCAGGCTACACACTGTTTTCTTCTTACCCTATACTCTTCCCTGAGTGATTTAATCCACACTCATGGCTTCAATTAAGAAACACCCAAATTGATATCTCTGGTTTGGACTCTTCTGAATGCTAGCCCTGGGGAGACAACTGCTAACTTAGAAATTTTCACAATTTCTCTGTAGCGCTTGTTATACTAGCAGTTTTGTTTCCTTGGTCATTTAACATCTGTTTTTTCCCCAGGTTATAAACTCTCTGAACACAATTACCCTGTGGACTGTGGCTCATCCTCGCATCACCAGTGCTGGATGCAGAGTAGCCGTTCAATAAACATCAAACTGACAAAGGAGGAAGCTTCTGTGAAGCTGTTATACAATTATTTAAATAGACAATATAAAACAACATGAATGAATCACACAGACATGTTGAGTGAAAGAAGTCAAACACAAAAGAGTATAAACTGTATGATTCCACTTATAAGAATGATGGTGTAGAAATCAGAACCATGGCTATCTTTGAGGCAAGGGGTATTGATTAGGGAGGGGCATGAGGGGGACCATTTGGGGGCTCAAAATGTTATATAGTTCAGTCTGGGTGGTGGTTACATGGACGTGTGTATACATGTGTGCATATACATACAATATACACATACTACACACAAAGTAATCACTTCTTTTAGTATGCTTTTCGGTCTACATTATACCACAACAAAAGGAAAAAAGGAATGCGTTTTGGGAAAAAAATGTAAAAAACTAAATATTGATGAGAAATACGCCCACAAGACTTTCGTAAATGAGAAATAACCACTCTGCAGAGCATAATGCATGTTATGATCCTGATCTGGTAAAATAATATATTCATACAGTCTTTCTTCTGGTTTCTACAATAGAAATCCTACCCAAACTAACAAGCAAAAAATTCATTTAATGACACATACCTGGAAAGCTCACGTAGCTAGGCCCACTTGCCCACAAATAATTTTTATTAAGAACGCACTGAAACTCTCTAGACCAGGGGTCCCCAACCCCCAGGCCGTGGACCGCTACCAGCAGGAGGTGAGTGGCAAGCGAGTGAGCAAAGCTGCATCTGCCGCTCCCCATCACTCCGCATCACCCGCATTACTGCCTGAACCATCAGCCCCATCGCTCGCATTACCGCCGGAACCAACCTCCCCATCACCCGCGTTATGGCCGGAACCAACCTCCCCATCACTCGCATTACCGCCTGAACCATCCCCCACATCACTCGCGTTACCGCCTGAATCACCACTCCCCCACCATCCATGGTAAAACTGTCTTCCACGAAACTGGTCCCTGGTGCCAAAACGGCTAGGGACCGCTGCTCTAGACGATTCAAAAGCTAAACGTTATTAGGGCACCACTCAAAAGTGTCCACGAAAATCACAGGACCGCTCTTCTCTGTGCTAGAACCCGGGCTGGTCAGTTTCAAGCGAGCCTTCTTGAGCTCTGCCAGAAAGTCTGCATGCCTGTATGTCTGGAGAGATGTAAGGTGCAGAAGAAAGGTACAGCAAGCTATAGTTTTCAAACATGAACTGCCAGTGTGAAAGGCAGGTAGATTCTCTGAAATGCAGGCATTTGAGAAGCTTCCAGACGGGCAGCTCTACACAGCTCACTGCAAGGGGAGCAACGGCAAGAATCCTTTAGCGATGATACGGATTCTCAATAGAGCTGCAGGAAATCTCAGGAAGTCCCATGTAAATTCTTTAGTGTCTCAGGCTGACAAGGGCTCAGGGCTTCAAAAGACAGAAGTATCCCCCAAATCACATCAAACTTACTGACATCTTAAATTCACAGGTAATCCTCTATTTGAAAAATTCCTAGGTCAAAAGTTGAAGACAGCCATACAATATCAATTTTACAACTATTATGTTTTCACCCTGCCTCTAGGTGGAGCTTACACTGTGTGTGTGTGTGTGTGTGTGTGTGTGTGTGTGTCTGTCTGTCTGCAGACGGGTGTGGGGGGAAGCAGCAGGTAACAAGTAAGCAAGCAAAATACATGGTATACGATATGGTGTTACCTACTTCTGAGAAGCATACGGAAGGTTAAAAGGGAAACGGAGCACAGGGCATGGCTATCGCTTATTTTCTAGGGGTGGGCAGGGAGGGCCTCGCTGGTAAGACAACGTCTGAGCAGAGCCCTAAAGACAGAGTAAACCCCTCAGATCCTTCTATGATGGCAAAATCTGGACGCTAACAGGAAAATGTCTGCCAAGCTTACACTGAAAACCACAGGAAGAAAGAATTCTGCTGAAACCGTTGGAGTACTGCAGCAATTGCAGCCCTAACTACCCCTGCAGCCGGTCCATCTGTGCCTAAACAAGAACAGGCTGCCGGAACCACCTGTGCTGCTCAGTTCTCGGTCTCCGTGCAACACGTGTTTCATGCGAGCACTTTATTTTTTTGTCCATGTTTTCAATCTAATAAATAGCCAGGTATAATAAGATACAAAAAGATAAAGCAATTTATTCTTACATCTTTTGGAGAACCTGGGCCATCACAACCCCATTCGTTAAATCTTCCACGGTCTGGCATGGTGCATCCACATTAAATGTCTGGATCTGGAAAAAGGAAATTAAAAAAAAGGAAAAAAAGATTCCATGGTTAACCATATAGAAGAATTCTTAGACTTCTTCTACCTCATCTTGGGAGTTGAATACGTTTTAAAAAGCAGAACACTGTGAAATGTTTTCCCTCACGGGAAGTTTCCCGCAGCTTGCTATTGCAATTTTTTCCTTTTGGTAAAAGAGAGAAGGTGGTGGACACTGGGCGGCTTCCCCGCATTCACCCTCCTCACAGATAACCATCTAAGAAAGTCACGGTACCGTCATCCCCTCTGCCAGTGACTGGCTCATGGGTGCACAGGCAAAGACAATTTGGACCAAACAGATGCAAACAGAGGCTTACTTGGGCTTCCGGGAAAGAAAAGCCAACCTCCCCTTGGTGTGAATAAACATGCTGGTTGCTTCAATTGCCACGAGCAGTCATCTTGTTGACCGTTAGGATGAGGCCAACGCAGTGGATGGCAGAGAAGAGGAACAGAAAGAACGGGGTCCTTGAGGCCAAAAGTGAGCCACTAAACTAAAAATCTTGAGGCCTCCTATTATGTGAGATGCATTTCTTCTTTGTGCCTGGCCAAGCTGAGATTTCTTTTACTCAGAACCAAAATATCTTTATACAGATGTAGAAATCACACAGTTAGATTAGCTATTCAGTTCATTTTGATTTTCAATGTATTATGAATCAGAACTAACGTAACATAGCTGAGAATTAGTAGAAATTATTTCTGAGCAAGATAATAATACAGCTGAGCCAGCAATGATTCTACTCAGTAGCACAACCAGGACTTAGAAGGCAATAAATCACTGAGAATAGATAGACACAAGCCATGCTCTGCAGTTTATAGGTTGTAAAATGGAGGAGTATGGGAATCAGAAGAAGAGATAAAACAGGGAAGAGAGTAGAATGGGGAAAGACAGGGTTAAAGAAGGAAGCATCGTTGTGCAAAACCTCTCAAGTCACGTTAGGACTTCATCCTCAGAGCAAGGAGAGAAAGCAAAGGATTCTAAGCAGGAGGGTGAGGCCATGAGATCTGCATCGTATAAGGATCACAGCAGCTGCAGTATGAAGAAAGGCTTGCAGGGAATAGGCAGGGAGACCTATGTTAATAGGTTTGTATGTTAACACATGAGGTCAAACTAGGTAATGACAATGGAAACCCGGCAAATAATGGTCAGGGGACCATCTGCCTTCAATACATTTTTACTTACAGGGGTATATTCCTAGAGGTAAATTTGCTGGATCAAAGTGTATGAACGTTTTTAAGGTTTTTGATAAATATTGCCAAACTGCCCTGAACAAGTGCTGTAGCAATTTACTAACAGTTGGTGAGCGTCCACTTCTCTGTGCCGTGTCATCTATCAAATCTTTAAAAAAAGAACTATTAACAAGTGCTGTCAGCAGCTTCTTCATATTTTTGACAGTCTTGTGGGTTGAGATGGTTATGGCGGTGGAAACTAAGGAAATGGCCTTAAAGATCACATAGCAGGTGGTTTCTACTTAGGTGTCTACTTGGGAGAGGTAATGAAAAGAGGGCCCTTGCAGGCTAGCCCCTGACACTAACCTTATACATGCAGAGGTTCAATATATCATTAGTAACTGGATAAATGGACCAAATAAACATCATCTGTAGGAAATGATACTTAATTTCACTCCACACTCTCTCCAGTCGCCTCGTCAATAACAATGTAGTTTGAAAAGAAATAAGCACCCACTTTCGTTTTACAGTTGCTGAATTCATCTCTTTCTTGTAGGCTTAGAATGAAAAAGACCACAGGTGAGGGCCACACCTCACTCATCTCTTGATCACCAACCTGGCCCAGAACAGCCCTCACTGAACACGCTCTGCATGTAAACTAACTCCATCCCCAGCTTTGCTCCTAATCTGCTGGCTGTGTGACCTTGGATATGCCACTCTACCTCATTTCATGTCAGCTTTTCAATCTAGAAATTGGGAAAAATACCTTATGGAGGGGTGTGTTGCTTAAAGAGAAAATAAATGGACATTATGTATTTGTAAAAGTCTTAAGCAGTAGTTCCCAGACCTGGGTCTACACCCGAATCATGTGGGAAGTTGAAGAAGACTGGGAGTCTATTTTTAACAAGTTCATCAAATAATGCTATGTGGCGGGGCACTGGTTTGGCATTTGGAACACTCTGATCCAAAGGGTTCTGATCCAAACCCACTACCAAATGTAAAGGATGAAAGATCAGAAAACTGCCTCTGGCCAAGCATAAGGAAAAGCTCAATAAAGCAGGTAATTCAATAATGCAAGTAATTTACTTGTAAGACTCCATCTGTTTCTCTCTTGGGACTTAAAACTATTTTCATTTTGATTTTTTAAATGTGGCTTCCAAACAATTATTTTCTCTGAATTGGCTCTTGAGGTAAATAGTCGCTCATGAAGGCTAGAGGATGTCCACCTCTGCTTTGAGATAAAGGTAAAGCAGATCCCAGAGAAACTCTCTCTATGGAGTTTCCTTTTGAGGCGATAAAAATGTTCTTGGAATTAGACAGTGGTGATGGCTGCACAACCTGCGATCATACTACAAAGCACTGAATTGTGCACTTTTAAAAGAACTTTATGGTATGTGTATTTTAATTTTTTAAAAAATCTCTCACCTACCAGTTCTCATAAATTCTGAGTTAAAATCTACAGGGTGTTTCAGGACAGCAGTAAAAAAAAATTTTTTTTTTAATGTACTTAATTTATTTATTTTTGGCTGTGTTTGGGTCTTCGCTGCTGCACGCAGGGGCTACTCTGTTGCGGTGCGCGGGCTTCTCACTGCGGTGGCTTCTCTTGTTGCGGAGCATGGGCTCTAGGCGTGCAGGCTTCAGTAGTTGTAGCATGCAGGCTCCAGAGTGCAGGCTCAGTAGTTGTGGCTCATGGGCTCTACAGCACAGGCTCAGTAGTTGTGGCTCACAGGCTCTAGAGTGTGGGCTCAGGAGTTGTGTGGCGCATGGGCTTAGCTGCTCCACGGCATGTGGGATCTTTCCGGACCAGGGCTCGAACCCGTGTCCCCTGCATTGGCAGGTGGATTCTCAACCACTGCGCCACCAGGGAAGCCCAATAAGTAGAGTAAAATTTAAAGATAATTGCACTTAACCACATTAGGGCGTGACACGCTGCTGGAAGGGTCATAACCTCTCTTTTAATTCCAAGGAGCTCTATTAACACCATCCAACTTCCACCTCACCTTCCCCCACAAAAGCATGAGAAGGGTAATGCATGAGATCATCTGGAATTACTATCTCTAGAGTAGTGATTCTCAACCAGGGGCAATTTTGCTCCCTATGAGACATTTTCAGTTGTAACAACTAAGTGGGTGCTATTGGCATCTAGTAGGTAGAGACCAGGATGACAGAGCAGTGCCCAGAACAAAAATGATCCAGCCCAGAATGTCAGTAATGCTAAGGTTAACAAACCTTGCTCTGGAGCAGTGGTTCTCAAAGTGTGGGCCTCAGGCCACTAATAGCGCCACCTAGAAACCTGTTAGACATGAAGACTATCAGGCCCTAGCTCAGCCCTACTGAATTACAGACAGACTCAGGAACTGGGGCCTAGCAGTCAGCATTTTAACGAGCCCTCCAATTATGCTGATCAATACTAATGCATAGGAAACATTTCTTAGTGTTAAATTGAATGCAATCAAAACATAGGTGAAGTTTCTTGTCCAAAGCTACCCACAGTTAGTAGGAAGCAAAGTCAGGATTTGAACCCAGGTGGTCAAATTTCAGAACCTATACTCTTAACTAACATGTCATATTGGCCCTCAGTTGAAAAAAAAAAATTAAAGCTTTAAAAAATATACATGCTTTTGTATATCTGATTCCTTTATTCCTCCATTAGAGGACCTAAGAGTTAGGAAGGACAGAGAGAATGGAATGGGGGAGATACCACCCCAAAAATTATACTCTCCCCAACTGTAAACGCCAACATGCCATTTTACAGGCTGCTAAATATGAAAGTTACAAGAATATGTTAATGTTGCTGGGTTTCCCAGAAGAAATGTACTGAACCTGTGTGGTCATGATTCTTGCTCCGCTTAGCTTCTTGCCATTAGTTGGCAGCATTCCAGATTCTTTCTGGTTTTTCAGTCTCTTAAACCTAGGAAAGAGCAATCTTTCCACGTACCATTCAAGAAATTAGGCTTGACAGGTGTAAGAGGTAGGGCAGATTTTTGCGTCCGGAGGCTCAGCAGCCATGGCTCACGGGCCCAGCCGCTCTGCGGCATGTGGGATCTTCCCGGACCGGGGCACGAACCTGTGTCCCCTGCATCGGCAGGCTAACTCTCGACCACTGCGCCACCAGGGAAGCCCTAGGGCAGATTTTTCCTAAAGGTAAGAGTACATTTTGACTCAGAGGGTGGGGAGAGAGGTTAAGAGTGGAAACTTTCCAGCACATCCTGCTGAACTTTCTTACTGCATAAACTTTGATTCGGAATTTAAGCTTAAACCATTTTCCCTTGGTAGGATGATACTTTGTCTCTTAACAAGCATTCCTCTTTCAACAAAAATGGGGAACATTTGGTTCTTGGGCTAGTAACCTTTCTGATACAATAGCAATTTATCCAGCATTTGGGACACTGAGATGTTCCACAGAAATGAATTCTGCATAGGTGGCTAATAGGCATCCCTCTAAGTGCCTGAGTTGTTATTTTAACCATTTCTGGTGGAAGAACTTCTAATATGTACTATATACCTCTGATCTCAAACTAAATGCTGCGTAGTGAAAATAAACTTTTATTTGATATTCAGGATCATAATTATGATCTTCGGTAACTGAATGTGGAGGCTCTTGATGTATAAAAGGCTGTCAGCTCAAAGACTGCCCAGGCTGAACCTTCACCTCTCCGGTCTTCTCTGTCACTGACAGCTGCCTGCATTTTGCTGAATGTGGCAGTTACCTTCTCACCGGCTGTGTGCAAAGAAACTGCACAACCAAGTTGGCTAGAACTTTATGCAAAACAAATTATTCTAAATGGGGGTCCTCTCTTAGGAATGTATAGGATACATTTTCCCCCCTTACTTTTGGTTTTGGAATTGTGTTCAGCATTCATCTGGCCTTCAGCTATGAGGGGAGCTACTAGAGTGAATGCACATTTTCAGCTACCACAGACACGTTCCACATGAACATTTATTCTGCTTTTCTTTTTTAAGTATTAAAAAGCATGTATTCTTGCACAGTGATTTGGATGGAAGTAGTATTCTGAGAAACTTTTTAGGATAATGAAGCTCTTTTAGTATTATTTAAAATAAGAACAACCTTTAAACCGTATGAAGTGGGCAATAGGGGAGAAGCACACCTTCCTGAGAAGGGTCCTCCGAGAAGGGTCTTCTCAGGGGCAAAGGCAGCAAGGGTGGGTGGGCAGGAGAGAGTGCAGGCCTGGACGTCAGCGGTGCTTCCTCGGGGCGGGCTCTGCAGGTAGGAGAGGTGGCTCTGGGGCTTGGCAGCTCCTGGCTGGAGTGGAGGGAGCTGGCCTGGCGGTCCGTGCCAGTGACTCAGGCAGGGGTAGGGCAGGGGTCAGCTGGGTAAAAGAAATGTGGGTTTGAGTGTCAGGAGGAGGTGGCCTTGGCTCTCAGGACTCAAGGGGTACGGCAGGCTGCAGGAGGCCCAGGCCCGGGAGTGCTGATCCGCCCCCATCTCTCCAGCGAGGCTCTGTGACTGTGCCCTGGGCGGGTGGGGGTGGGGGGGTGCTCACAGCAGGGTGGGCGGCAGGCAGGGAAGGCTCAGGCAGGGCTGCTGTCAGGCCGGGGCTCAGTGTCCTCTTCTCGGAGGCACTTGCACCCGGAGCAGATGCTTCTTCTCAGAGGCCCCGGCCTGGGCACAAAGACAGGGACCACTCCATTCCTCATCACAGGCCGGAAGGCTGACAGCCTGGGCTCGGGGCTCTCAGACCTGAGAGGCCTGTCGAGCCGCCTTTGTCCTTCCTCGCATCGGCTAAGGGCCCTCAGCGCGGTCTCCTTGGCACAGGGGTCCAGGGACTCCTGGCTGGGCGGACACAGGGACAAGTTGCTTAGGCTTTCAACGGGGGCGGTACGGATGTCCACCAGACTCTATCTCCTGTGTGGCAGGAGAGGCGGGCGTTCCACTGGGACCTCATCGTGAAACCGTTGCCATGGCCGGAAAACCCCAGCCCCGAGGAGGTGCGGAGGGGCAGCCCGCTGGGAAGGCGCCTCCAGCCCTGGGGCACCGAGGACCCGTGGACCGGGTAGTACTTCCAGCTGCGTAGGGCGGCGGGGAGCGGCCGCCTGCTGAGGAACCAGAGCCCGCGATCCTGGCGGCGGCAGCGGTAGCACAGGATTGGGCGCCCGGCCCGGCCCATCGGGAGGCAGGTGCCGCAGGCGGGCCCGGTCCATGGGAACCATGGGGACCGGCGCTTCCGGTCGTGGGCTGGCTGCGTGGCCTTGGCCGTGCCCAGGTACATGCTCAGGTAGCTGCCCATGCTCGCGGGTCAGCGGGGTCAGACCTTCGACGGGCTTTGGCTTCTGGGCGGCCCCGAAGTCTGTAGACGCGAAGCTTACGGCGCTGAGGCAACCGTTGGCATCGGGGTGTTGGACGGTTCGTGGGGCGTCGGAACCTCTGGGCACGAGGTCCTGCGCGCGCCAGGCCGGGGCCTCGCGGACTCACTCGGGGCCTCGCGGACCCGGGGCCTTGCGGGGCGCCCCTGTGTTCTGAGCACAGGGGATATTCTGCTTTTTATAACTAAAAGAACAAACCCAGCGTTTAACCTCAACTTTATTTTGAAACATTTCAATGTACAACGTTTTAAAATGTTTCCAAATTTTAGAATTGTACACCTTTGTTTGGACTCTGCCCTCCAGTTTTGTCATTGATAATCTCTTCCCCAGAAATTTTCCTGGATGAGCCTTCCAGTGAAATTTCAAAAAGCCTTTTCTTCTACAAAGCCAGACTCCTTGACCTCTGTCTATAGCTGATAACCTGGATTATCTCTATTTTCTTAACATTTTACCAGATTTTAAATAGATGTGGCCATAGTGTGCTTCTGTTAGTACCCCTTCAAACTTCTCTCTGTGATTCTTCCTCTGTATTTTTATTAGCATTTCTCACCCAAATAACTGCACTGACCACCACCTTCTGGCAGATGCCCTTCAAACACACCTCTTTGTTTCCGTGACTTGTCTTTCTAGACTTTAAACAATGTAACCCTACTTCAGATTCAATGTTTCCTCATCTTTGCCCTCTTGCCTTTTTTTTCTAGCACTGAAGGAGGTACAGACTCAAAAATGCATATCTTCAGATCCTCAATCTTCTGTTTACAACCTCTGCCAAATCCATTCCTTCCACAGTATCAAAGAATGTGGTAATTCTTTCCTTTATCTCTCCCCTACCTAGTCAAACTTTGGCCACATTATGCAGCTTATCTGTTTCTTCTCTTCTCTAAAATGCAGCAGGGGAACCCATTTCCCCACTTAAGTCAGAACCCATTACAGTTGTAAGCTGTATGTTAACTATATATTATTGCAAACGATTTGAAATGCCAAGAATGCCCTAATACAAAAGTTACTGAATAGATCAAGCTCTATCTACCCTTGTACATATTCTGTTTCAGAAAACATAATTTGATTTGTGACATAAGCCAAATTGTGAAAATCTCAGACTATTTTCATTATGTTTGTTCCAACCAGCCTAGGACACTGGCCCTCTAAGCATTCCACCCAAATGTCCCCACACAGGGCAGTGATGTCTGTACTCCAGGGATCTAAGCTTATCGCCCAAGGCACCGCTAAACTGAATCTGTTTGGCATCTGTGTCTTACCTTGCACATTAATACAAATGCTGTAGTCACCTCCCTAAATAGATTAGTGCTGCATTCTAAAAGTGGTATTTAACGTTTTAGCAATGAGTAAAACGAAAGCTCCCCAAAGAAGCACCAGGTTCATCCCATAGATACACACACAGGCACAACCCTGGAACTGGCACCGCACTTAGGGAAACACACAAGCTTGGGTTTTACGTCCACCTGTACAAGGGGCTGCTAAAGGCACGTCTGTTGGCATTAGAACGGAACACATATTTACATGCACATGTGAGAATCTTAGTAAGCATTTGATAATTTAAAATTAGAATGACATAACGTTGCCCCCCAAATGTCGAGTCCCACTACACCTTCCAGACTTATTTTCACCTCGAACACCTTCCCTAGGCACCTCCACGCCGCTCACTTTCTCCTCTCCTATCGCGGAGGCCGGGCTGCGGGTCCTTCCCCTACCCTCCGCCCTCCCGGCAAGCCCTCTCCCCCCGCGCCCCGCGCCGCTCGCCCTCCAGGGCTGCGCTGTCCCGGCGAGCGGGACAACAAAGGCGGCAGCGTCGGCCGGGGGTCTCGGGTGCCCCCCCCCGCCCCCCGGAGGCGCGGGGAGCCGCCTGGTGACAGCGCCGCCCGCACCCGTCCTCGGCCTCCGCCCGGCCCCGCGGGCCCCGCGAGTTTCCCTCGGACCCGGCCGGGCCTCCCGCCGTGGACTCAGCCCGCACCGGCGTCCCGGCCCCCGCCCCGGGCCCCGGATGTGACGGCACCGGCGCCCTCGGCGCCCGCCCGGGGCGCGGGGAGATCCCAGGACGGCGGCCTGGGGGAGGGGGCCTCCGGACCGCGTCGCCACCTACCCAAGTGAGGAGGCTCTCGCACAGCTCCACCCGCTCCAGGGACTCCACGTTGAACATCTTCCCGCCCGGGCTCGCGGCCGCCCTGCCTCGCCAGGAAGCCCGCGGCTCGGCCCGGGGCTGCGTCCGAGGGTCGGCCTGCCCGTCCTCCGCCCGGCCGCCGACTCCGTCCGGAGCTGGCAGCGGCACCCGCAGCGTCACCGGCGCCCCTCCTCCTCCGGCCCGTCGGGACCGCGCGGCACCGCGCGCGCGCGCCCGCCCGCCCCGCCCGCGGACCTGCAGCCCCGCAGCCCCGCAGGCCCGCTCCCGCCGAGACCCCAGCCCGGCCCGAGCCGCAGCAGCCCAGCACTGCGCACGGCCGCGCCCGCCGCCCGCTGCGTGTCGCCCCCGCGCGCTCCCCGCCGGCTGGTCCCCGCCGCGCCCTCACGGAAGCGCGGCAGTGCGCGTGCGCCGTGCCCGCGCGCCCGGCCCGGAGGAGGCAGCCAGTGGTCGCCCGCGAGGGTGGCGGGCAGCCCCGGAAACAATCTGTGCCCTCGGTCACCGGGAGCTGGCGAGGTGTCCTCCACGGTGCAGAGGTACACGCGGCCGAGCGCCGGCGGGGCCCCGGCCTGGGCGGGACGGCGGGGCGCCTTCCGCGGGGAGCCGGGCGGCCCCGGGCGCCGGCGCTGTGAGGCCGACGTGGCGGGCTCGGGTCGCCGAGGGCAGCCCGCCGCTCCTGCTCGGGCCGCGCGGACCTCGCAGCCCCGGGAGGCGCGGGGGGGGGGGGGTGTGCGTCGCCGGCCAGCCCGGGGGACCGCGACGGTTCCCGGGGCCTGTCCTTCCTTCCGCAGTGGCCAGGGGGACCGGCCTCGAGCTGCCCCCGTTCCAGTGGGTGAACCTCTGCAGGGTTACCGATGAATCGTTAGGCGATACAGCATGTGCAGAAAAGTGCACACAACGGACATGCCTAGAGAGTAATTAGTAATAAAACAGGCAGGTAAAAACAAAGAGAACTGCCCGTACCGTAGGAGTTCCTCCAGCACCTCATGTTCCTTTCTGAGCATCGTTCCCTCCCTAGACTGACTTTTATGATGTTCACTTTCTTGCTTTTCCTTATCTCTTTACCACCTACGTATGCATGCCTAAACAACACAGCTTTTCTTTGCCTGTTGTTGAGCTTCTGTCAGTGGAATCATTGTGTTATTTTATAGCTTTGCATTCATAGTAAGTTTGTGTAGATCCATAGGTAATTTTCAGTGCTGTCTAGTACTCCACTGTATGAATATAACAGTATATCCATGCTACTGTTGATGGACATTTTGCTGTTCCAGTTTGGGGCTAACTAAGAACAATGCTATAAGATTCATACCCCTAGAGACTAGTACCAACGTGTAAGTTTCTTTAGCTATATGCCTTGGAGTCCTGGGATTGTTGAGTTATAGGTTGTGCGTCACTTTACCAGATGATGCCAAACTTTTATGTGGGGTGCAACAAAGTTAACTTACCGGGACACACCTTTCTGTGGTTTGCAGTTCCTGGAGCCCCCTTTCCCTGTTAAGACTAGGTTTTGTCATTGAGCTATCAGAACTGCCAAGACAGCATTGAGTTTTTCATGATGCTTTTCAGAGTCCCAGTTAACAGATTTTTCATTGTGTGAATGTAGAAGATCTTACCAGAAGTCTTCTCAGTGGTCTTTTAAACATTATTCCCTACACCAAGGGCAGAGAAACCTTTAGAAGTGATAACATGTACCTCACCTGCCTTTGTTTGGTGCCTCTGGACCTTTGTCAAACCAGAGTTTCTACATTCCAAGCTAGGTTATCTCTGTAAGGATCCCTGGCACTTTAAGTGAACATTACCCTTGTTAGGCATGTAAAGTCATCAAGTCAGCCTGATGCCCGTGTAACCTGTCTTTGGATGTGGAGCCTTGTTGGAAGGCCTGTAATGGGTGAGCACCTTCACGCCAGCTGCTCTGGTTTTTAGGACTTTGACACAGTTGACCTCAGCCTCCCTTCTCAGGTTTGATGGCTCACCCACAATGCATTTGTGCATGATGTGCAGTGTTCTTGAGATTTCATTCCGTAGCTCCAGTTACCCTCCATGAAGGAAATTATATTAAAAACTTCTTGAATGTGTGTAATTGTCTGCAGAAGCCATGTGGCCATCATGTTTTTACATGAGTTTGGGTAAAAAGACATGGAGTTTCTCCTTTGAAGTTACGGAATTTCCTATATTTCCCTTATTTGTCTGTGTTGTTTTGATTCATTTTTCCTGGAAGCTTTGGAAAAGACCAAAGAGAGGTGAGTGGCACTTGTCTTAGCTGTCTCCTTACTCCAGTTAGTTGGAGGCTAATTCTCATCTACAGCTGTTTATCACATTCAAGTAAACAGGGGAGTGTCCTTCACCGTAGTGTGCCAAGTTTATCCAGTTTCCCAGGGAATACATACTTAGAGCTTAGATCAAAGCGAGCTTGAGATGCTACTTAGTGTAGCTGTAAGGAAGGCATGGCCACGTCTTATCATGGTTCTGCAGATTCCTTGAGGGTTGTTAATAATAGTAATCAAAATATTATAGCTTCCGTTAATTGAGAGCCTGTATGATGTACCAAGCAATATGTAAGTGCTCTACCTTTGTTATATCATGAACTCCACAAAACTAGAGTGGTTTTGTGGGTTTTTTGCCAAAAAAAGTGGTTGCTTGATATAGTTCAACTTAATTTTATGTATTTTACACATGAGGAAGCTGAGACCCAGATTTTGCACAAGTACACAGTTGTCTGACTGCAAAGCTTATGCTTCTTCAATGTATTAAGCTACTCAGTAAGACTTAGCCAGCTAAGCAATAACAAAGCCAGTGCTGGAAATCACTCCCCCATCTCTCAATTATCAATTTTTCTATCAATTATCAACACCGTTTCCAAGATCTATGGTGTTTTGTTTCTGTAAATCTCAAATAGTTAACAACAGAGTACTACTAACTTGTTTTCATTTGATAGGACCCTATGAAATAGATTAGATGCCATGTTTTATAAATTTAATAACCTTGCTTTGGGATTTCAAGCGAGCAGCATTTAGTGCAAGGCCCCTGCAACATGTAAAATCCCCTGTGCGCTGCTCAGCGGGGTAAGAGGTAGCCAGCGCAGGCGCCTCCCTGTGCCAGTCACTGAGGTTTTCAGAGGGCACCATCAGGAAACTGGGAGGGTCTAGGGTGCTCTGTAAGAATGGTACTGGGGAGAGACGTCTTAAATCTTTGAGCACTGAAGTCTAATTTTCATCTCTGAAGGAAGGAAGCAGACACTGGCTTCTATTTTTATTGCTAAAGTAATACGTTCTTGAAAAGAATTCAGACTATAGAACTGTATCCTGGGAAAGGTGAGGATCTGGCTCTCCCAGGCCTGCTCCCCACTTGTAATCATTTTAACCTTTGGTTATTTAGCTTTCCTGCCTTTTTTTTTTTTTCAATTCCAGAAAGCTCTGAATCAGAGAAATGTAGTGGTGGAGGGAACTTAAGAAATCTTCAGATCCAGCTTTCATATTTTGCAGAAAATGAGGGGTCCTAAGAGATTAAGCTGGGTCCCAGTTGTGGTAGCAGAATTGGAGGTAAACTCCGGGGCCTGCATGCCATGCCGCGGGGCTTGGGCTTGCGCTGAGAGCCTGTGCCCTTGGTCCAAATCAGCAGCATTGATTTGTTCCAGATGAGCAGAGGTTGGAGGACTGAAGTTCAGGTTGACATTGGAATTCATTTTCAGGATTGGGGTATAAGGTCAACTCCTCAAGTAGAAAATTTTATTTCCTTTTATTGTTTATCCCCCGTATTCTTAGATTGGCTTCTTTCCAAACTGAGGTGGTGGCATAATACCTCATTTTTGAGCCAGCAGCGCCTGCAGTTCCTTTTTGGACTCCTGTGATAAGAAAAACTACTGGCGGAAGTTAACTACTGAAGCCCCGACAGGTTGGTCAGACACCATTAGTAGTTATCCATGTGAGGGCTGGGATTTCCGCGTGGCAGGGAAGTGCAGCTGACCTTTCTGTTCCTCTCTGAGACTTACCAGCAGTCTCCTCCCTTCCTACCCTCTCTCAGCCCAAGCACCTCCTTCAGTGACACTAGAATTTGTGGCAATAAAAAGTAACTCTTCATTTCAACAACATTGGGAACTTTTGCTATAAAATGATGCAAATAACATTACATGGTCCTGCAATACTTAAAGTATCCTGGATCTCTGAGCTCTTGGATATGTGAATGAAGCAGCGTCTGAAGGGTATAATTGGTAGAAGTATGTCTTTATACAGTAGAATATATATACATATAATTTTGATTATTTTATTTTTTTATTGAACTATAGTTGATTTACAGTATTATGTTTCAGGTGTACAGCAAAGTGATTCAGTGATATAAGAATATATATATATATATATAGAATGTATAGAGTAGAATTTAGTCACGTGATCAGTGATTACACTTGGAAGGACATAGAAACAAATGTAACCCATTAAGAAAAGAAATAGTACAAAGTAGTGAAACAAATGTAACCCATTAAAAAAAGAAATAGTACAAAGTAGTGAACTCCCTAAATGTACAGCTAGGAGAAAATCCTCCGAACTGGATTCAGTAATTGGAGGCTGGGACTCTCCACACAGGATAACATTTTGCTGATCTCAGAGCAGATGCAAGTAGCTCTCACTGACAGGACTTCTGACAGCCACAGCGTCTTCAATTTAAAAAGAGGAAACCTGACAACATAAAAATCTAGATTGACTACATGGCCCACCCCAAGATCACTTGAGGCTTTTTTCTTCAGTTTCATTTGGCAGTTCATTTGACTCTTCTTTTGAATAAAATACTGAGGTTAGAGCTCCTTCTCTGAGTTTCTGGTGTGTGCTTTCATGAAGGATACTTGAAACCTGTCATTAGAAAGTTCCTGATACATCAGGCCATTACCATGTGTAAAGCTGATGAAAGCCACCTTTGATCTGTTTGTTTGCTTAAGTTTCTTCCATGAGAGGTAATTTTCTTACTAGCAGCCAGTTCAGGTTCTTTTCAAAGGTGTTAGACTTTCACACTCAAAGTTTCCTTTTAACAGAAACTCACCTGATTAATGATGATATTGAATAAAACTGTTTTCAGTGCAGGACATTACATAAGTACAGGTTAATTATGATTAGTCATGTATATTTAATTGAATTTTATTGCCTTTATTTCCCTTTAGGTGTCTTACAAGATTTTAAGTAACTTTAGTGTTTGCCATCAGAAAAAAGTAGGAATAACCTGTGATATTTGGACTCTGATGTGGTTGGACCATCTCCCCTCATATCTATAGAAATTGGGTATTACCATTTTTCTCTAGTTTAGTGTATGGGAGGGAGAGTTTCATATCCTCCCTTTTCTCTTCATAAGGAAATGCAGCCTCAGGGTGATTCCATATTCCAGGCAGTTCCCAGAATTCTGAACCATAAACTGAGCTTAGTTCCAAGTGAGGCTAATCGTTTTCCAAGCAATAGAATTTTCATTAATTCAAGTAGTCTCAGTATAGCTATAAATGTTCTATAGCCTCCATGTCTTTTACTTTTCAAATTACTAACACCATAAGTAAGGTAAGTCACTCCTATTTAAACATATATTTATTAGGTCCTTCTGTGTACAGGGCAGTATGCCAGGTAATACAGGAATATTTACAGAAGAAGACAATATATTTCCTTCCGTATCCGTACATGGTACATTCCACGACGCACATTCAGTGCCATGAGGGAGAAGAGGGATGTGATCTATGTGGAGAATTTATTTGGTATTCAGGAATAAGAAAAGAGCAATTGGGCGTGAGAAATGTCTTTTCTTCTTTAATGATTTTAAAGAACTCATTAATGGGGCATTCCCCACTGGAGATGTACTTAATGCAACCTACCTCAAGTGGGTGCTACCAAAAAATACATATATCAGAAGTCAGCTACGTTTATATCGTTTTTATTAATATATTTCATTTTCACTGTGTCGTTTTTAATTTTCATCTTATCTCTTTTTCTTTTAGACCTGGAATGGCCAAATATCAAGGTGAAGTTCACAGTTTGAAACTGGATGATGATTCAGTCATAGAAGGAGTAAGTGACCAAGTACTTGTGGCAGTTGTGGTCAGTTTCGCTTTGATTGCTACCCTGGTATATGCACTTTTCAGGTGAGACTAAAGGACAAAAGAATTTAAATAATACGTATTTCCAAGGGCCACTGACTTTCTGACTGCTTCTAGTAATGTTTAATACTTAATATTAAAAGCAAGTAATAAAGCTGATTCACTTTGTTATAAAGCAGAAACTAACCAAAAAAAAGCAAATAATGAGTTCAGTGATTGTATGTATTTACTAAGGTATTTTATTTTCCACTAGGCTCTAAATGCTACTATGTATTTTTCCCGGCATCAACTGTCTAGTCAAAAAAATTTAGATTTATCACCCATATTTTGAATAAAATGTTAATATTTTCTGTTGGAGTATCACAGTTTTAAAATGTAATTTTCATAATTGAATTCATCAACTTATAGGTGATATAATAGGTGCAAATATATTTTCAGTGTTTAAATGAAAAAAACTGGGACAAAAAAATCTTGGACAGTATGGAGGGATTAAGATTAGAATTAAATTTGCTGTTATGTAGGATTAAGTGAATTAATAAATGTGAAACACTTAGAACATAGGGCTGTTGAGAGGATTAAAGGAATTAAAATATTTTTTAAAAATTACTGTTATAGAATCAGGAATACTATTTAAAGGTCTTAGATGTCTATGTACCAATAAACAGAGATAGGGTAATAAACTAGAAATTTAAGTATTAACACATGGAGATAAATAAAATTTTGTATATATTGTTGAAAACAGAAATGACAAAAGTATAAAGTAGAAAAGAGATTACAGTAATTCCAAAAAGTACAGATCTGTTAGTTTCTTATAAAAATTATAGAAAGGATTATTAAACAGAATATGAGCATTCTCTTTTACCTCTGCATGGTTAGTTTCTTATTAGGGTGACATTATCTTGATTTCAGTAGAGTATTTTACACGGTACCTGGTGATGCCCTTGTGGACATAGTGGGGAAATGATGACCAGATGATAGCAGATTTAAGTGAGTTTATAACTGGTTGACAGATCATTCCCAGGAGTGCTGACTAATGTTTTAGTGTAAGCCAAAAAAGAAGGACACTGAATTGTTGCAGGGCTCTGCTTCTGAGCCTGTTCTTCTCATTTCTGTTAGCAACTGGGATGAAGAAGACAAAAGAAGCATGTTTGTTAAATTGTCAGTTGGGATGGATAGCTAATGTATTGGTACAACAGAATCAAGATTTAAAAATGGGTCATCCCATACATCTGTGGTCAGCTGGTTTTTGACAATGGTGCCAAGACCTTTCAGTGGGGAAAGATTTCAACAAATGATGTTGGGACAACTGGATAGCCACATGCAAAAGAATAAAGTTGGACCCATACTACATCATATGCAAAATTTAACTCAAAATGGATCAAAGATTTAAATGTAAGGGCAAAATTATAAAACTCTTACAAGAAAACATAGGAGTAAATCATGAAGATTCTTAGATATGATGCCAAAAGCATGATCAACAAAAGAAAGAATAGACAAATTGGAATTCATCAAAAGTAACAACTTTTTTTGCTTCAAAGAACTTCATCAAGACAGTGAAAAGTCATTTCACTGAATGGGAGAAAACATTTCAAGTCATATATCTGATCAGGCCCTTATATCTGAATACGTAGAGAACCCAAAACTCAATAATAAAAAGATGAGTAACCCAATTAATAAATGGGCGAAGGACCAGAATAGACATTCCTCCAGAGATATACAAATGGCCCATAAGTACGTGAATAGATGCCTGACATTCTTAGTCATTCAGGGGAATGCAAATCAAAACCACAGTGAGATACAGCTTCATACCCACTGGGATGGCTAGGTCCAAAAAGTCAAATAATAACAATTGTTGAGGATATGGAGAAATTGGAACCCTCATACACTACTGGTAGGGGAGTTAAAATGGTGCAGCCACTTTGGAAGACTATCGGTTCCTCAAATGAGTAAACATAGTGTTACCATATATGCTAGCAATTTTATTCCTAAGTATATATACCCATGAGAAATGAAAGCATATCTCCACATAAGAACTTGTACAGGAATGTTTACAGCAGGATTATTCATAATAGCCAAAAGGTGGAAACAGATGAATGGATCCATCAATAGATGAATGGGTAAACAAAAGGTGGTATATCCATGCAATGGAATATTATTCAGCTTTAAAAAGGAATGACATACTGATGCACACATGCTACCTTATGGAGGAAACTTGAAAACATTGTGCTAAGTGAAATAAGCCAGACACAAAAGGCCATATATTTGAGTCTGTTCTTATGTTCACAATCGGAAAATCCATAGAGATAGAAAGTAGATTAGTGGTTGTATAGAACTGGAGTTGGAGATATGGGGGCAATAACTAAAGGGTACAGGGTTCTTTTTGAGGTGATGAAAATGTTCTAAAATTGACGGTGGTGATTAATTACACCTCAATCAAGCTGTTTTAAAAATGGGTCATGACTAGGCAAATACCAAAAAAAAAATCTGCTCTTTACCTATTAAGAATGGGATGCAGATATGAATTTATTGTCATTTGAAAGTATCCATGATAAATTGTTGAGTGAGAATTAAGTAAAAGGCACGTGACAAAACCATAGGTCAAGTAGCCCATTTTGTTTAAAAAAAGTATTTTTATAAAATTAATTTTATTTAAAAATATTTTTCTTTTCCTTTATTTGTTTTTCTAATTTCTCTACTATGGATAATTATTACTTGTAAATAAAATATTTTTCCTCACAGACTGTAGTGATGTGAAGCCCAAAATAGAAGTTTCTATTAATAAGGCAATTGTATGTTGTAGCTGCCAAAAACTTAACAGCATCAAGGTGTATTAATCAGAATAATCAGATAAAGGTCACATATAGATTATAGTCAGTTTGGGTCAAGAATTTTAAATTGGAAAACATTCAGGGGAGGTTATCAAAATGGGTAAAGCTATGGAAACAAATCATATAAAAATGCCTGAAAGAACTGGGGCTATCCAGCTTAGGGGAAAAGACTGTAGGATGCAAAAGCTTTAAATACGATGAGAGCTTGTTTTGTTGAAGAAGAATTAGGTTAATTCTGTGTAGCTTCATGGAGAGAACTAGGGTGTAAAAGACAAAACCTACAGATTTTTCCTTCTTATGTAGTGAAGGACCCAGTTCTTCCCTACCGTTTCTCTCCTGTGTCTCCTTTATATTTACACAGAACTCTTCACTTCTGGTCACCAAATGTGTGTGGGCTTTTCCCCTCCAGGCAATTCTCCATGACACCAGCTGGGCGTCCCACAGTTTAACTCAGTTCTGATACTGTCTGCCTGGAGATGGTGTCAGCTCCACAGGTTAAGGGCTCAGTCCCACAAGCCTGCTCACCACCACACTTCATATGCCAACGGCAAGTAGTCGGTCCCCAAGTCACCCCCAGCTTCTGTCTGATTTCTGTCCCCAGGTTATCCACAAGAAATCGGAGGTTCTCGTGACCCCCTCCTCAGGTTTGATTAATTTGCTAGAGCAGGTCACAGAACTCAGGGAAGCAGTTAGGTTTACCAGTTTATTAAAGGGTGTGATAAGGGATACAGATGCACAGCCAGATGAAGAGATGCATAGGGCGAGGTCCGGGGGGTCCTGAGCGCAGGAGCCTCTGTCCCCGTGGAGTTGGGGTGCGTCACCTTCCTGGTGTGGACGTGTTCACCCACCTGAAGCTCTCCGGACCGCACTGCTGGGATCTCATGGAGGCTCCCTCATGTAGGCGTCATCGATTATTCACTCTGTTTCTGGCCCCTCCTCTCTCTGGAGAATGGGGGCAGGGGTGGCAGATGCTGAACATTCCAAGCTCCTAATCAGGACTTTGTCCTTCCGGGGAGCAGCCCTCATCCAGGAGCCCACCCAGAGTCACCTCATTAGAGCAAAAGACACTCCTGTCACCCAGGAATTTACAAGGCCTTCAGGAACCCTGTGTGAGGGGCCAGGTCAAAGACCAAATCTTAGAATACAAGGTACTCCTAGTACTCTTATCACTTAGGAATTTGCAAGTGTTTCTGGAGCTCTGTGCCAGGAACCAGGAGCAGAGACCAATATCTATTAATATATATTTTCTATTATCTCATACCGGGCCAATAGGTGGAGCTAAATGATGAGATTTTGGCTTAACCTAAGATATAACTTTTCAAATGATATAAGGTGCTCCCCATTACGTGGATGTTGTCTTGAATCTGTCATATGATTGGATGGGAGGTCAGTTTAAGTTGCTGTCCAGCTGTTCAGATTCAAATTCAGTTGGCAATTGTCATCCTGCTACTTTAGCTGAAGTATTCAATTAATGAGTTAGGGGAGGGGTAGCATGCGTACTAGAAGATTCAAACAAAGGAACTTTTTGTCTCTTTTCTGTAATTTCTTTGATGTCTGTAGTCATTATAATTCATCCTTTGTTTCTATTGTGGTAACATATCCTTAACATAAAAGTTCTCACTTTAAGTGTACAATTCATTGGCATTAAGTACATTCACAGTGTTATGTAACCATCACCACTGTTTATTTCCAGAACTTTCTCATCATCCGAAACAGAAACTCTACCAGTTAAATAATAACTCCTTATTTCTCCTCCCCCTGCTCCTGGTAACCTTTATTCCACCTTCTGCCTCGAGAAATTAGGCTATTCTAGGTACCTCATAAAGTGGAATTAGACCGTGTTTGTCCATTTGTGTCTGGCTTATTTCATTTAGCATTCTGGCATTTTCATTTAGTAACGCATGCAAGGTTCATCCATGCTGTATCATCTACCAGAATTTCATTCCTTTTTATGGCTGAATAATATTCCATTGTATGACGAAATTGAGCTATTTGTAATGAGGTGGATAGACCTAGAGTCTGTCATACAGAGTGAAGTGAGTCAGAAAGAGAAAGACAAATACCATATGCTAACACGTATATATGGAATTTAAGAAAAAAAAATGTCATGAAGAACCTTGGGGTAAGGCAGGAATAAAGACACAGACCTACTAGAGAATGGACTTGAGGATATAGGGAGGGGGAAGGGTAAGCTGTGACAAAGCGAGAGAGAGGCATGGACATATATACACTACCAAACGTAAGGTAGATAGCTAGTGGGAAGCAGCCGCATAGCACAGGGAGATCAGCTCGGTGCTTTGTGACCGCCTGGAGGGGTGGGATAGGGAGGGTGGGAGGGAGGGAGACGCAAGAGGGAAGAGATATGGGAACATATGTATATGTATAACTGATTCACTTTGTTATAAAGCAGAAACTAACACACCATTGTAAAGCAATTATACTCCAATAAAGATGTAAAAATATATATATATTCCATTGTATGTATATACCACATTTTGTTTATTCATCTGTTGATGGATATTTAGGTTGTTCCCACCTTTTGTCTATTTTGAATGGTACTCTGTGAACGTTGGGGTACAAGAATCTGAGTCCTTGCTTTCAACTGGAATTGCATGATCATGTGGTAATTCTGTGTGTAACTTTTTGAGGAACCTTCAGTCTGTTTTTCACAGCAGCGCTCTGTTTTACATTCCCACCAGCAATGCACAATGGTTCTAATTTCTCTACATCCTGGCCAACAGTTGCTACTTTGTGTTTTTTTGATAGTCATCCTACTGGGTGTGAAGGGGTATCTCACTGTGGTTTTCATTTGCATTTCACTGATGACTAATGATGTTGAACATCATTTCATGTGCCTATTGGCCATCTGTATGACTTCTTTAGAGAAATGTCTATTCAAGTCCTTCGTGCATATTCGAATTAGGTTGTTTGCTTTTTTGTGTTTGAGTTATTTCTATATTCTATCTTAATCACCTATCAAATATATGATTTATAAATATTTTATTTCATTCTGTTGGTTGTCTTTTTATACTCTTGATAGTGTCCTTTGATGCACAGAATTTTTAAATTTTGATGAAGTCCAATTTATCTATTTTTTCATTCGTCGCCTGTGTTTTGGTGTCATGGTTAAGAAATCATTGCCAAATCCAAGGTCACAGAGATTTCCCTCTGTGTTTTTTTCTAAGATTTTTATAGTTGTAGCTCTTAAGTTTAGGTCTTCTATCCATTTTAAGTTAATTTTTGTATATGGTATGAGGTAAGGGTCCGACTTCATTATATTTGCATATGGATATCCAGTTTTTCCCGCACCATTTGTTGAAAAGACTGTCCTTACTCCACGGAAGGGTCTTGGCATCCTTGTCAAAAACCAATTGACCAGGGACTTCCCTGGTGCGCAGTGGTTGGGACTCTGTGCTCCCGATGCAGGGGGCCTGGGTTCGCTCCCTGGTCAGGGAACTAGATCCCACATGCATGCTGCTACTGGGAGTTTGCATGCCATAACTAAGGACCCTGCCTGCTGCAACCAAGACCTGGTGCAGCCAAATAAATAAGTAAATAAATATTTTTAAAAAAACAATTGACCATACATGTGAAAGTTTATTTCTGGTCTCTGGGGTCTATTCCATTGGTTTATACGTTTGTCCTTATTACCAGCACCACATTGTTTTTACTATAACTTTGTGGCAAGTTTTGAAATCAGGAAGTGTCTTACAACTTTGTTCTTCTCTTTCAAGATTATCTTGGCTATTTGGAGTCCCTTGAGATACCATATAAATTTTAGTATGGGTTTTTCTATTTCTGCAAAGAATGCTGTTGGGATTTTGAGAGGGGTTGCACTGAATCTGAAGATAGATCACTTTGGATAGTATTGACATCCTAAAAATGTTGTCTTCCAATCTATGAACATGGGATGTCTTTCCATTTATTTGTGTCTTTAATATCTTTCAGCGATGTTTTGTAGTTATAATTAATTTCTTTTTAAATCTTTTCTATTTGGTCTTCCTTCTTAAGCCATTAATAATAGCTGCCATGTGTTGACATACCAGAAGCCAGTCAGAAGGGTCTGGTAGGCAGGTTAACCTATGAACCACATGCTTGCATATTTGTAAACTTTGATTCAAACTTCCTTTCCTGACCCACGCTTTGGGTATCATTGCTTTCCTCATATCAGAGGTTCCTGGCTCTTTTCCAGGGCTACATATAACTTAACTGGTTTGACAGTTTTGGTTTCTCTTTTCAGAGAAGTTAGAAGGACCATAAATCGTTGATAAATACACTAACAACACATGTACTTCTGTTTCATAGCAGAGCCACTGTTTTCCTTGGCATCTCACTTTAGACCTGCTTAGTGTCAAATGCCATCATTTTCTCATAGCTAAGGTGATCATATTGATAAAGGACAAAAATTAAACCAAGTAAATTTGAAGATCTAATTGGCTTTACTAAGCTATTCATGAATCAGGCAGCACCCCATCCAGCAAGTAGAGAGATATTTCCGGGAGTTGTATGAAATAGCAGGTTTTTATAGGCAGAAGGAGGGTGGGGCAAGGAAGTTATTAGCAAAAGAAAAGTTAGGATTATTTCAGGCCAAGACTTCTTCTTCTGGGGGAAGGAAATGGCAGGGGTCTTATCATGCAGGCTACCTCCTTGGTACTGACCAGGAAACCCCAGATTGACCAATTCAGATCCCATTCCTGGGGAAGGTGGGAGCTGCAGTTGGGCCAGGTGTGAAGTCTCGGTTTGGTGTCATAGGCTTTAGCACAGGTGATGCCATTTGAGGCCTGAGGTTTTCTCTATAACAGTATGTTCCTGATCTTCTAATCTAGCTTTCAATCTATCTTGATTAGATTTCTAGATTCTTGGTTCTGTACTCAAAGTTGCCAGTCACAATTAGCTCCCTGAGCTACAGGCCATGTTTAGCATCTTGGGCTGTTTGTTCTTGTTCTTTGGCTATACTTTGACTTTTCTAATATTCTACTATCAGATTTAAGAATTTTATATCTTCTCTTTTATGGAAAGAGACCAAAAGAAAGACCTTCCAGTCACATGGTTTACATCAATCCTCAGAAAACCATGCCTGTTTTTTTCCAATGAAAAGGGAATGGTTTTTCATTGTCAAAGAGCTGAGAATTTTCCAGTTAGCTGGGTGTTTCCTGGTGTGTAAATAGGCTGCTTCCTGGGCTGTTCCTTGATAGATTGTTTTTCCCATAGAGTAGCTTTCTTTCACTGATTCATTTATTCAGTCATAAGAACGTAACATTTTAAAATAAATAATCCACCAAAATTTAAGGTGTTTAAACAGAATTCAAGTCGTTTCATTACATTTATGTTGAGCTTCTGATTAGATATTTGACTTTAAATTGTTTTTATGTTGTCTCTGAACTAATGGTTATATTTTTTCGGCTTTCTTTTCTAAAATTTAAATTTTTTACTAAAAATTAAATAACCCTGGGATGGATTTCTTTAATTTTCCTTATCCCATTAGAATATTGATTTAGAGTTCTTATTGCTGTGCTATATTGGGTCAGCTAGAGAGTAAAGGCTCTTCTGTAGATTAATAACACTGACACTGAGTAGACTTAAAATATTGCTGTTAAAGAGATTTAGGTTTAGAAAAAACTTCTATAGCCAAATGAAACTAAACTGATTCAGATGTAAATCTTCACCCCTGACCCTACCAACCTAACCACTGCTTCTAGTTTTCAGTCCTCACTTCACGCATCCCATCCTTTTATATGGACCTCTAACTTCCTGCCTTTGATTCTTCATTTTAATTGTTAATGTTAAGAGATTAGTGGTATCATAGGTTTGGGCTTTTCTACATTATACATTTTAGGTTTTGTTTTTCTCTGTCCCTCTCACCTCATAGGTGAAAAGTTGGGAGAAGGACCTAATTAGATATGGAAAAGTGTTCAAATACATAATAATACAAGAAATCTTACAAAAGAAATAAACGTGTTATATTATATGTAAGTCTGAAATTACATTCAATCCCCAAGGTACTAGGCCTCTGGATTTCATCATTTGCCAGTTAAACCTGAAATGAGCCGATAATCAGTGATCTCAGAATAGCCTAGAATGTTCAGTCCTACAGTTGGAGTACAGTTGTAGGCCATCATTTACATTTCTTATGTTGCTAGTAGTCTAGGTCAAAAATTAGACCCATAAGGAAAATGGATTCATCTAACAATATTTTATATTAAAACCGTATTATAATTTATTCAGCAGAAATGCACATCAAAACATTCACCCAGAAAACCAAGAGCTAGTACGGGTGCTTCGGGAACAACTTCAAACAGAACAGGTACTGTTGTGATATAAATCTGTGCATTTGTATGAGGAGTAGATGTTATCACTCCCCTTGCATAAGAAATTGTGATGATATATCAATAAATTCCTTTTTGGAAGCATGTGCTTCTTTCCTGCTTGGAGTTACCTTTATTATTCTATTGATTGTACATTTTCAGATTAAGCAAATGACTAGTCTTAATCTAATTAAGATGTTTTCATGAATTTAGTTTTAACTTGCTTTAAAAGACAACAGTTTTCCTATTATTTACTTGTGAGGAAATAATTACTGTCTAATTGGCTTTAATGAAATGTAGTGGAAAAACTACTCTTTCTAAAACATATTCCCGGGCTTCCCTGGTGGTGCAGTGGTTAGGAATCCGCCTGCCAATGCGGGGGACACGGCTTCGAGCCCTTGTCCAGGAGGATCCCACATGCCGCAGAGCAGCTAAGCCCATGTGCCACAACTACTGAGCCTGCGCTCTAGAGCCTGCGAGCCACAACTACTGAAGCCTGCGCACCTAGAGCCCGTGCTCCGCAACAAGAGAAGCCACCGCAATGAGAAGCCCGTGCACCGCAATGAAGAGTAGCCCCCGCTCGCAGCAACTAAAGAAAGCCCACGCGCAGCAACGAAGACCCAATGCAGCCAAAAATAAATAAATAAATTTTAAAAAATAAATAAATAAAGTATATTCCCCTAAGACCTTCAAAGAAATGACTATAAGGGATGGCTTTTTTTCCTTTTCTTTTTCTTCGGTGATCAAAGTTGTTAAAACTACTTAGGCAAAGAAGAAAACTTTTCTCCTCTGCCTCTTCTTTGCTTTTAACCATATGGATTCCCTAAGAACCAGAAATGTAATATATTTTATGAAAGCTGGATTAAGTAGGACATTGTATACCTTCATGCTGAGATACCTAATATCAAAAACAAAATTAAAAATTGTCTACCCACCAGTCAAATTTTAATTCCAAAGAGGGTTTTTATGATTTATCCATTCACCAAATATTTATTGAACATCTACCATATGTCAGACATTGTTCTGGGCATTGAGAATTCATTTGTGAACTAAACAGACAAGAATTCTTGCTTCATAGAACTTAAATTCACTGATACAAAAATAGTTTAAGCATATTAGTGGTACTGTGTTCCAGAGCTCTTGTTATCAATAATTCATGCTGGCCTGGTGTTTTATAATTTACAAAGTGATTTCACATACAACTATCGCATAATCTTCAGACATGTAACGACTATCAGGAATGTATGAATGAAACAGATGTTAAAAATAGAAGAAAGCTAACACCTGGGGAGTAGTTTGACATTTCTTATTTTCAGCTAATGAATGCATGAGCTCAGCCTGTGTTACCCAGAATAACTTACTCTTTCTAATAGAGTAACTCCTGAGTTAATCGGCTTTTTATCTTTAGATATATCTTTTTATCTTTATCTTTAGACTGTGTTCAGGAAGGAAGGTAGAGACCATGCAGTTTAGGCAGAACAACACTGGAGCCTCATAAGTTTCTCAAACTTGTAAGACCTTAACTAGTGCACATCTAAAATTTGAGGATTGCACAGTCCTGACTGTATTGTTAAGTATCTTTTAGCATGAAGATGAATTTTGAAAAGACTGTGTGTGTCGTGTCTCAATATGCACTTGTCTTCTCACCAGGATGCACCTGCTGCTGCCCGACAGCAGTTCTACACTGACATGTACTGTCCAATCTGTTTACATCAAGCTTCCCTCCCTGTTGAAACAAACTGTGGACATCTCTTTTGTGGTAAGCAAACAATGCTGTTCTTGGTAAAAGTGACTATTTAGACCAAGACCCGTGTGTGTGCACAAGCCGGATTCCTAATTTTCTCTCTGTCACGTTTTGTATTTTGTGAGTGGGGCAGATTGCTTCTGAGATCCTGCTCTTGTTGTCAGCCACTTTTATTTAGTGTCCGTAGTTCAAAGATTAAAAAGACTAGTTATTCAACCCCCCAATAAACAGAAATGTGTTTCTTTGAATAGTGAGTTAAGGATATCTGTACCATGAGGGAGTCACTGAATTCCTCATTTTCATCGCTTTCTGGTGGTTTCATTTATTACTCCTCCTTCCCAAGGCAGCAGGGTTCTTCTCCCAAGGACCTTGCCCGAGACCTTCCCTTGGCTCTGCCACCTCTTTTTCACTCTGAGTCGGTGCAGAAGTTCTTACCTCTCTTCCTCCGGGACTTCCAGAGGCTTGGGAACCCTAGAACATGTAGAGGGACGAGAAGGGACGTTGATGTCGCACTTAGTGTCAGGAAGGGGTGCTGTCCACCCCTGGGCATCTCCTGACCTTCCAGGAAGAGTCACAGAGAGTGATGGGACATACCGCATGGCCACTGCTGGCTGTGGTCACGTGAGATTGGCAGGAGTCAGTTATTATGGGCCTGCTGTGTGCTGGACGCAACATACTCCATCTCATCCCAGCTCACAGGTGAGGAACCCCGAGGCTCAGCAGCGCTAAGAAATTTTACAAAGGGCAGCCCAGCTGCAGACGGACAGAGCTAGGTTTTAAACCCGGGTCTGACTTCATAGCCTGTGCGCAGTTCTGTTGGGCTGGCCAAAAAGTTCGTTCGGGGTTTCCCGTAAGATGTTACCAAAAACCCAAACGAATTTTTTGGCCAACCCAATACTATGTGAACGGTGGTTTATACAACTACCCTCTCCTTAAGGTTTATCTCATCATGAGACCTATTTTTTATTGGTAGTATTTCTTTCCCTTCGAACAGCTGTATGCAAGATAGGGTGCTGATTGCTCCCAAACTGTACTGATTTAACATGTAGCACAGTGATTTGTACTTTGCTTTCTCCCCTTTGTATCTTTTGTCTAAGAGTCAGAATTCCAAGGTATACAGTGTTACTGTTCATGCTGTTGGGGGTGAAATAAAGTATCTGGAATCCATTCCATGCTATGCAGGGTTTTCTATACCTTGTGCCCATTTAGTCAGCACTGACCAATCCCATCATTGCCTCATCCATGAATTTCAACCTCTTCCTTCTGGTTTTTGTCTAAGTAACTAACAAATTACAAAGCACTATTTCAGTGTCTATCCTTAATTATCTGTTGGAAGTGCTAGTGAGCAGCCAAATAATGAAAGATCAGGTGCTGGGGTAGGGGATTAAATGGCCATCAGAGAAAGCAGACGTTCCCCCTCAAACCTCTGGCCGACGTTCCTTATCGATTGTGGACTTGCTCTGGGTCTGGCTGTGCCTCGGCCGTCCCCTAGCACAGCACCCGAGGCAGGGGTTGGGAATCAGTGAGGTCTGGCAGGCTGGGCGAAGTCTATTTGCCAGCCCAGGCTTAGGTGATGCACTGTGTGGATAACCCGGTCAGTTGAAAGATGGCTGTGCTGTGCTCTTGGTTTTACCTCTGGGTCTGGGGTAATAGGGTAGATTCCTTCCGATATCCTGCCCTTCTTGTTGGGACACTTTTATTTACTGTCTGTAGCTTCAAAGGTTAAAAAAAAAAAAAAACTAGTTATTCAGCTTCTTAATAAATAGAAATGTGTTTCTTTGAACAGTAGTTCAAGGATACTGATACCATGTATATGAAGAGCATTTCAGCTTAGCTCCATGTGTGGAACTACAGTTCTGTTCCTTTACAGCAAGTCAAGAATGACAGCAGCAACAGACTTCACCTAACTTGCATTTGTAACCCACATTACTTTATTTAATTCCCCGGCAGTCTTATGAGGCCTTATTCTCATTTTACAAATAGACAGATCTAGAGAGATTGTGCCCCGGATTCAAGTCATTGAGCCATCTCTCCCGCCATCCTAGTTAAGGGAAAGCATCAGGCACATCACAGCAGATGTGTATGAACTGAAGTGTTTGATTTGCTGGACCATAGTTTTCCAGTGCAGGCAAGTGGCCACTACATAATTTGCAAACCAAGGACACCTATACTCCAATCTGTGGAAAAAGTTATGGAATTAAATAAATTAACATATGTCAAAACACAGTGGACTTTTGGGTGAAAAGGTAGTAGGTAAATCTAAGGCATCATTACAGATGGTAATAATACTAACATATTTATGATCAGTTTTGCTTTCATATGGTTTCTATGTGAAATTAGACTGCTCAAAGTATTTAGTAAATATTATCGAATTAACACAGCACCCTGAGAGCAGGAAAAGATATCAGATACAGATGGTTTAGCTTTTTAAACTTGTCTTTAAATCATCGAACCAGTTTTTCCCCACAGTCACTAATGGTCAGATTGGGCGGCCTTGGCTTCAGGCAGTGGCCTGCTCACCAGTGGCCTTGTGTACCATTATTTCTGCCTCTGGGATTTGTTCCTGCCATCGCAAAACCCAGAGTGTCCTCGCTCCTGTCTTCTGCCTGTCTAATCTTACCAACCCTACAAAGTTGGGTTCAAATTCTGTACACCTTTTGTACTGAAATTTAATATTACACACTTCAAGATGTAACTACCTTCTGAGTCATGTAAGTACGTTACCTTGGTCCCCTCAATTTGATTGAAGGAGCCAGGAAGCAGTTAGTTCAGATTCACAGTGGAACCTGGATGATCTGAGAAATGGGGGCCTGCAGAGGAGAAACTGAATTGGCTCCTTAAACATCAGCCAGTATTTAAAAATACTCCTTCTTCATTTGTTACTGGTCTGAACTTTAGTGCCTATACACTTAGTGCACCTACCACCACTTTTTAAGGTCTGTAAATCCTCTCTCTAGGCTGTGTTTACCTGTTTCACTGCTCATCAATGCCTTCAAGAAGAAAAATCAAATCCGTCCAGTACAAAAGTTGATTCAGTTACTTAACTGGATTATGAACTTTGTTAGGGCAGGAAGCGTGAAATCTTTGTATCCTTTGGCTCCTTTGTGCATACTACCTAATTACTATTATTGATACTTAAGTGACTTGGTTTTCTAAACTTTTAGAAAAATGGAAGTTGTGTTTCTGTAACATATATATCAAATTTGCAACAGAAAATTTATAGTGTGATTTGTTGGTTGTCATATGTACAGTAATGTTCAATTACTGTTTTATTTATTCACATAGGAAATGCAGTATTTTCTGTTAAGCCTCATAGCATTGAAGCAGTTAATGCATGCTTGCTTTTGATTGTAAAAATGCTTGTATCTTAACGGGTAGTTTAAATTAAAATATTTTTCAGTGGCTTGGAATTGTTATTAGATTTGAATTTGCCTTAAGACTTGGTTGGACAAAGTAAAAAACATTTTAAAATAGGTGATGCTGTTAAAATATTTCAAATATATGAAACTTTCCCAGGATATATGGACTTAACAACATCAATATTAATGTTTTCTTCCCATTAGGTACCTGCATTGTGGCGTACTGGCGATACGGTTCATGGCTTGGGGCAATCAGTTGTCCAATCTGTAGACAAACGGTAATGTTTGTGCCCAGAAAACATCATTTATACTAGCTCATTTTGTAAATTTTTATAGTTTCTGTATCTAACTCTTGAATTATTTTTATGTTTTTAGCAGAACTTCATTTATCCAAAGCTTCTCTGATGTTTCTCCATTATTTTAATGTCTTTAAGACACCTCAAAAAAAAGGGAATTCCCTTTGATATCCCTTCAGTCATAGTGAAAAACAGCTGGTACATGAACCCTTCCCCAAATCCTAATAAGTCTTTGTTGTAACACCAGCAAGGGAACAACTGAAGTGGCAATCAGGCTTAAGCAAATATGCTCTGCATAGACTTCTTTTGAAAAAAATAGTTTTTCAGTTGTACTTTCTTTTTAACCTGCCCATCTGTGGTGAGGGTCCAGACAGCTTTAAATGACGAACAATGCCTTTGAAAAATGTCTCTTGTGGAGCCGTGGCCACGTCGCATCACCCAGAGCAGATTAGCCTGTTAGATCAGTACAGATGCTGCCTCCGAGGGACGCAGTGAGGTTTTACACACGCGTGTCGGAGACTGAAGTGTCAGTACGCTACCAAACGGCTCAATTTCTTCGACAAACTGGAGAAACAAAATTTTGTTTCATTTGAAAAATCTGAGAAACTGATATTTGTAATTTTTAAGTTAATAAATATAGCCAAATGGGATGTTCTATTCACCTTTCAGAATTTCCTTTATATTTATATTATTCTTTTCATTTAAAATATATGCCTGTCTGATAATGACTCATGATCAGGTACACAGACAGCCTCTCCTTGGGAAGTCTTCCAGTGCAAACGGACGTCCCGACCGGGATGGAGAGCTTCCAAGTCAGGATGCTGAATTGAGTGCACGCATTTACTTTTGCTCCCTCTGGCAACCCCACCGAAACAGGAAAGGCGTAAACCCACAGGGACCACAAAGTAAAATAAGATTAGAGAAGGCACAACAGTTGTTCAAAACTTCTTTGTAAAATATAACTGACGTACAGAAAAGCACACAAAATAAAGAGGTACAGCTCGCTGACTTGTCACAAAGCAACACCTGAGTAGCCACCACTCAGATGAAGAAACAGAAACTGGCCACAGCCCCAGAAGCCTCCTCGGGACCCCTTCCAAATCTCCCCCGCTTCCTTCCTCTCCTAGAGGTAGCTACTGTTTGACTGTTATGATAAGCATTTCCTTGATTTTCTTTACAGTTTTATTACCTTAGCATGCTCCTCTAAAGATTACTGATCAGTTTTGCCTAATTTGGGGACTGTGTATAAATAAAACCATATAGTGTGCACTGTTAAATACATATACCCATACACAGAAATGCACACACGTGTGTGTACCTTTCAGCCATTGTTCTCGCTTATCCACTTCCCCCACTGCTGCCTTTTTTGATTGGAGAGAGGAAGGTTCAAGGCTTTCTCTTCTTTCCTTCTTGCTTCTATCGATACATCCCCAGATTCTGCCTCTTTCACACTTTTTACCACATGGTTAGGAGGAAGATCATTTTTTGGTACCACCTCTCCGGCTGATTTGACGTGTGACACAAGGCAGTTGGCCCTGAAGCTTATTTGCCAGTGCCACCTCTCATCTTTAGCTCTCTGCCAGCAACACGGAGACCAGGCCAAAGGTCTTGCCGTAAACAATTAGTTCCACCACCTGCCCCTCTTTCTGGCACTACCTGTGGCTTTTCATAGGGCATATGCACATTAGCAGGTGGTATCCTTTGGACCACACATAAATTGGCTAGAGGCAAGAAAGGTGGAGATAAACTTGTGGGTTCCCTAACTGCAGTGCGTTCCCACTGCAGTTCATCTACCTGCCCCACCGCCTGCTTCACTGGGAACAGTGTGCAGGCTGCTGCCTGTGGCTGGGACATGGTCACCACGTCTCCCCTGGGCGCGCACACTGACACGCCAGCGGTCCTACCACGTCCCTAGGGTGAGTGCAAGTGTCAAGCTTTCTGGACACCCCAGACAGAGGAAGTCCTTCTTCTCCAGCATCACTATAACGCCTACCCCAGTGCCTTATAACGGGCTGTTGAACACGTCTCCCTCCCTTTCTATCCTGGGGATTGTGATCACCAAGGCGCAAGGCCACGTTGTCCTTTTTTTGTACGTCTAGCACTTAGCGCAGTGCCTGGCCCATGTACATGGTCAGTTAACATTTAGTGAAAGAATTCATCTTTATTAACAAATTTGTGAAGAGATGGCTGTACCTGCTGTTCCTACCACCTGCTGCTCTTAGGCACTCCTGTGTTTGGCTGTTTGGGAAGCACCTGAACAGTGGGGTCCTGGTTTTACAGCTGAGCTGAGGGTCAAAACAACAGTGAGATGATTTAAACCCAAATCTATCACGGCTCCTTCCCATATTTATCTCTTTGTACAGTGGCCATTTCTATAGGAGGTGTTATATTTTTAAATATACTTGTTTTTCGAGGTACCGTCATCTTCAGATTACCCGAGTATAGACCAGGAACATTTGTGTATCCTCCTTAGCTCCGCCATGGAGGAATCAGGGTTAAATGTATTATGTTATATAACAGTATCAAGAATTACCTTTTTGATTGTAGTAGAGATGGGTGCTTGAGAGCTGGTTCCTGCAATAACTTCATCTCTGTGTGATGCTGGTAGCATTCAAAGATCATTCAGATACCAGAGAGGATAAGGAATCATGATTTTAATCAAAAAAGAAAGCCCTAATTTTCCTCTCTCAAAGTGATATGTCACTTTGCTCCTGAATATTTTCTCATCATTCTTATATCCTCAAATGTCTGTTAGCCCAAACAGAGAACTACTAACTTGATCCCTGGTGTGGATTGAAAAGTTCTTAAACCAGTGCCCATTTTATTTTACAGGAGTTCAAATAACATTTTGAATGGATTTTATTGTAAGGAAACAGTAGCTTACTTTTCTCCCCTGTGTCGCCTTTGTTAAAAGAAATGAGCGAAATCTAAATTCAGAAGCTTTTCTCATTCTATTGAATAATAACACAAAATGAAAAAAAATTAATGCTGCAGAAAGATGTAACAATTTTTTTTTTCTGTAAATCTACAGGTAACTTTACTGCTAACAGTATTTGGTGAAAATGACCAGTCTCAGGATGCTGTATCATTGCATCAAGATATTAATGATTATAACCGGAGATTCTCAGGGCAGCCCAGATCTGTAAGTAATGTTGTAGCGGGTGCAAAGTTAGAGTGTGATGATACTTCTCTTTTGTAAAGTGAGATTTACCAACAAATAGTCAATGTGAAAAGTCTGTGTGTGTTACGTGAAGTCTTTACTTTTCATTGTTGCTGTCATTCACTGAGTTACAGCTTTCCCAAGGACTACAGTTTTCTATCTTTTAAAAAATGTCATTATTAAACTCTTTATGAAAGTGATACCAGCAAAAAAAAGCAATAGAAAAACATTGGAGGGAAAGGTAAAATTATTGACTCCTACGTGATTCTAAAATAGGGTTTGTCTTACGGGAAACTTACAACTGAGAACTTCTGGAGGGAGTTTTACCATTGTGTTTTACTCTTTTACCCTGGCCCCATTTGAATTTGTTCCCTTAAGTAACCCTAAGTGTTGGGGGTTTTGTATGTCAGGTATTCAAAAGCATTCTATTTTTAAAGAGCACATTAATTCTGCAGTTGCCCCTCCTCCCCAAAAAGGCATTTGATAGATTAAAAACCCACACTTTACTGACTCATCCCAGTTTTCTCAAAATTTCTCAAAATTTAACAAAGAATTCTAGAAGTGTATGACTAAATATGTACTTGAAAACTCAGAACACACTCAGTACAAATTTGTACTGGAAGCCCAGACTCTGCTCCACGCTCTAGGCTCTGACGTCCACTTGCTCAGGGTACATCCCACTGGCGCGTTCCTGGCGTCTCGGACACGAGATGTAACATGCACAACACTGACCCGATCCCTCCTTACCTCAGCCTTACTCAGCTCAGTGCTGATGTCCTCTTCTCCCTCATTCCCCTTCTCTGATCTGTAAAGAAGTCCTAACGTGTCTTTTCTCTCTTTCTGGGGATGCTGTCATTTCTGCCTCATAACAAGTCCTGTGTCTGTAGCCATCAGACTAGGCCAGGCCACCACCATCTCTTGCTTAGGACAACTGCAGTGGCCTCTTCACTCGGACCTTTTCCTCTGCACGGCAGCCCGAGTAATATTTTGAAAACATAAGTAAGACCACGATGCTCTTGTGTTTTGAAACTTCTGAATTTCTGGAATAATGTCCCAACTCCTGGCTGTGGCTTTCAAGGCCCTGCATGGCCTGGTCCCCCCTCCCCTTCCTCGGGATGCGGCTCTCAGAACACGCTCCTGGCCTTCCCACCTTTGTGCCTCACTCGTGCCATTTCCTCTGCTTGGAATGCTTGTCCCGCTGCTCGCCTCCTGGCTGACTTCCTCATCCTTCAGGTCGGTCCTAGTATATCTCCCTCGGAGAGGGTGTCCCCAATCAACCAGGGCAGTCTCTCTCATTGCCCTCCGACCTTGTTCATTACCATTCTCTCAGGAGACGGAAAGCTTCATGAGGGCGAGGACCGTGTATATTTAGTCACTACTATGGTCTCAGTGTCTGGAATACAGTAGGCCTTAATGCTTGTAGAATTTATGGTTATCCTTAAGATAGAAATGATACTCCTCCTCCCAGCCAAGAATATAAGCTGTTAAAATGCTTCTGTATTACACAACTGCGTAGACTTGTGCTCCCTCGTACATGCTGTTCCTCATTCTGGGACGTCAGGTACATTTAAAGGCATACAGTTTCGCCTGCTGTGGATGGTGACAGGCAAAACTTTTAGTGACAAGAAAAGCTTGACCTGGTCCCTGTTGCCCTCCGTGATTCTTTGGGAGCCTCTTCTGCTGTTTCTGATCCGGCAGTTTTCTTATGTATCCTCCAGGGGCATCTTAGGACGATTCTTTGAAAATCAGTTTCAAATTCAAGAACTACCACTGAACTTAAAAAAATCATTTTAAGATGTTCATTCGTATTTTAAGGTGTGAAGCATACCATTGCTCAGTTATTTTGTGTGCATCAGATATATACTTAATGAATAAGAAAGCTTGGTATGTGATGAAATTACAATATAATAAAGACATTTAGGTTTTACTTTGATATTCTACCCCAGAGTTAGAGCCAGATTGCGATTAGTGCACAAGCATTTCTCAGTAACCCATTCCATATTTCTTGTCTAATCACTACAGATTTTGTATAAACACCACCATATGAGAACTGAACAAAATAGCCCTGATAAAGGACAGAACAGTATTCAAGAGACATACTGGCTGGTCATTAGAATATCTTAAGTAATTTACCATAGACCCTGTGAAAGCTGTATAGCTGTTTTGCTTTAAGTATTAGTTTCTTCCACAGAGAACAGAAAATCAGCATGAGGAGTGATTCTAAAAAGACCATTTTTGTTCTTTTGTGATCCGTTTTCCAAAAGGAGTTACAAGATTTTCTTTGTCTGGTGGGGTTTTTAAAACCGTTTTCTCATTGCTTGCTCAGTTCTTCCCATTTTCGTCTCCCTCTCAACTTATTCGGCATTTGTTGGACAAAATACATACTTAGAGTTGGATTTGTGATATTTATACAGATTGTTAAAAACAGCTGAACTGGCACTGGAATGACCACAGGAAGTGATTTACTTCCTCTGGCCAGTTTCTCTTGCATCTCCCAACCCCTGAGAAGTAAGACCTCAAAGAAGTTAGGTTCAGGAGTCGTCACGGTGCCTCATTACTACACGCGGCCTTATGGTCATGCAGTCAGCTAAGAGCTATGCAGAGGAAGTGAGAAGTTTCCAGTCAGAGACGAAACTGACTTGCTCAAGGTCATACAAATAGATGCTGGTACTGTCTTTTTTTTTAAAAAAAACTTTATTTAGATGTAATTTACGCACCATATAGTACCCCTGTTTAAAGTATACAATTCAGTGGGTTTTAGTATATCTACAAAGTAAATATAATCTAATTATTAGTCTGTATATATTCAGAAACCATAATCATTTCCAGAAAGGGTAGGGCCTGGCATTTCAAAAATTTTTGTGGCAATTAATAATTCACTTAGGGCTTCCCTGGTGGCGCAGCGGTTGAGAGTCCGCCTGCCGATGCAGGGGACATGGGTTCGTGCCCCGGTCCGGGAAGATCCCACATGCCGCAGAGCAGCTGGGCCCGTGGGCCATGGCCACTGGGCCTGTGCATCCGGAGCCTGTGCTCTGCAACGGAAGAGGCCACAGCGGTGAGAGGCCTGCGTACCGAAGGAAAAAAAAAAAAATTCACTTAAACTCAAGCTAAGCAGAATAAACATCCTAAGAAGGAAATCAGTTTCATTGCTATTCTTAGATGGTCAAAGCCATCAAAGTTGATGTGTCTGTATATACTTATATATTCTGTATATGTATATACTTATATATTGTCTGGCAATTTATCAAGGTCTTTTATAACAGTATCTCTTCTAGTTCTTAATAGTCCTTGTGGCACATACTCAGTTAGTTGTTGACTTATCTCTAGTAGGTTAAACAACTTTCCCCAAGATCACTTGGCTAATAAGTGGTGTGTCCAACTTTAAAGCTGAGACTTGAGCTCAAGCCTCAGTCTAGTTCAGTACACTGGGTTCTTTGTTGGTTTATTTTACTAACTCAAATTAGAAATAACTTGAGTTTTGTATTACTATATCCTGTGTTTCAAATTTGTTGATATTTTAGTTACTTTTCAATTATCTGCAATAAGACCTATTTTATAAGAACCTAGTAATCAAAGAACTATTTTTAAATAAAATGTGTAACTAGAAAATATGGTGTTCAGTGAATACATGAAACTCCTTCATTCATGTTAACTGAGTTTGTCTGCACGTTGTAAGAAAATTATATTATTTTTAAGTCTAACACACTAGATACCAAATCACAGTATTTGTTCTTCCCCTACCAGATTATGGAAAGAATTATGGACCTACCCACTTTACTGAGGCATGCATTCAGGGAGGTGTTTTCGGTCGGAGGCCTTTTCTGGATGTTCCGTATCAGGATAATACTTTGTTTAATGGGGGCTTTTTTCTACCTTATATCACCTCTAGATTTTGTGCCTGAAGCCCTGTTTGGAATTCTAGGCTTTCTCGATGATTTCTTTGTCGTATTTTTGTTGCTCATCTACATCTCTATTATGTACCGAGAAGTAGTAACACAGAGACTCAACAGATGAGAAAATGAGTGCACTAAAATATTTGAGCCAATGTGTAAAATCGAACAAAAGGACCATGGCAGTTTAAAGCATTTGAATATTATCTTACAAGTTTAAAACCACTGTATGACAAACATTTGATTGTCATTTGCAAATGCCTAGCAATATATGACTGGAATTTTTACATGTTGCAGGTCCCAATAGTAAGGTGAGAATTATAGTGATTTACAACTGTATCTTCATTCTGTGTTGTCTATAAAGTTGTGGAAAAATATGGAATTATATAAAATGCGATGCTTCTATATCTTCTCCCCCACCAAACTATTCAGGTTAACTGGATGTATAGTAAGGTGTTGTCAAATGTACAGTTTATCCAATTCATCCTTCTCAGTGAGTACCCACATGATAATATATTGCTGTGAGACTCACCTAAGTATTTTGGTTACAATAAAATATTGTACAATATTGGGGAAAAAATCAGTGTTTCTTTGAGTAGCTAGGTTTTGTTCATTTGGAGCAGTTCTGCTTTTCCATTCTGATATAATTCTTTGCTACCAGCTGAAGGGGAAAGAAGAAACTTGAACTTTGTTTATTTGATTTTATATTCTGGTTTACAGAACACTTCCTTAAGTGACAGGAGAATTAACAAGTTGTGAGACATTGGACTCCAGCCAGCACTCTTGATATTCTCAGTTATGGCATTTCAGTAAGAGTTTGGTCCTTTTATAGGAACAGTATATAAAAGTTACTTGTAAAGAGAATTTTTGTTTCAGGAGCCTGGGTGATACTGCAGACACATAACAGTTTGGTACATTCCTGAGGAAGGTGGTTCTCCGTAGCTGTGAGCATCAAAGACCTGAGGAGGGCACTAGAACACTAAATTTGACAAGAGAAATTACTGGTGAGCTATAGCGACAGAAATGTACAGATTTGGTTAGTTTTCTCTTGTCAGAACACTTTTGTAATACTGTCCCTAGATGACAGAATATAGCCCAGATTCATCAGGCCTTGTGCAGAATGAGATGATTCAGCAGGAACGTTATCTTGGTTTTTGGATGACTACAGCATAAGTACTTAACGCTCTTTTATGCAGTTTTCTGTTTGAGAAGAATCAAAACCACAAGTATTACGAAATCTTAACTCCCTCAGCTGGCACTGCCCTTGAGTGACCTGGACAGCAGGGTAGTCACTGATCCCCAGGGCTCAGGCAGTGTCAGCTCTGCGCCTGGCAGCCACTGCTAGTCATCCTGTCCACTCATGTGTCAGTGAGCCTCACTGTCAGTCTTCCAGGTGAATCAGAGGCCATCAACTGATGAGATGCTGAATGATACATCAGTAGTGTCTTGTAATTTGGGCCTAAGACAAAGCTGCTGCTTGTCACAGAGAAAAACAAAATCCTTAAGTATAGCACATTGTAATTAAAGCGATTTCTTGCATACCGTTCATTTAATCCTCAAGAGAGTTAGGTGAAGAAGACAGGGCATTACCTTCCTTTTCATAGATGAAATCCCTGACGTAGATGAAACGGCTTTTTTTTGTCTGAAGCCATGCACAGATAAGTGACCGAACTGGTATTAGACTCCTAGGACTCCTACATGGGGAGAAACTGGGATCCTTTGGAAGACTTTTGGAACATACTGGAGTAGGACAGCTTGGGTTCTCCTAAGAACAAAGGTTTAGAACAAAGGTTTAGAAAGATTACATATCAAGACTCCACGAATCCTGATTCACCATGTCCAAATCAAACTTCTCATAGGGTGGCACACTTCATAGGAAAACGTTTCAGCTGCAGTCACTAACTTAAGAAGCTAATGAGTAGGAGTTCTTTACAGCACCATTCATCAGTCTCGAAACGCATTGCCTACCAATTATAAATTTGGTGTGGGGCTACAGCAAAGCCATTTTTGAAAGGTTTTAATTTTCTGTGCATGTGTTCTGCTTCAAGTGTCACACTTACAGTACTTTTATTGTAATATTTGGAATTCCTTCTAAGACTTTCCTGGTAGAGGCGTATTGTATCAACTTTCGTAACATACAAAAACACTGTATGAAGTCTTACTAAGTTGAAAAGGGAATATGCTGTATTCTCAGAAGTTTAGACCTGTTTATTATGTCATCTTTATTGATCAGTGATAATAAATGTAGAAGGGATCCGAGAGTATTTAAAGCAAGTAGAGTCAATCAGTGTTTTAAATTTTTAAACATCATAGTAATACTTCTGTGATTCAGAGTTAGAGCATATAAATCAAAGCAACAGTTTGGATTTTCGTAAACAACAATATTGTAACTTTCAAAACACAGATGGTCCAGCCCCAGGAGCAGATGATAACTTGGGCAGCTCTGTGGGGAGGGAGACAGAGGAAACAGTTGTTCTAACTGTCCACTAGAACAGTGGTTCCAGCTGCTACAGTTCTCAGCACTGAAAGTAACATGGGAAGAAAGGACTGTGCTGGTCCCTCTGGCTGTGCAGATACCTACCTCACAGAGCTGTTTCAGAGGACTGACAGTTTGGTTCAAACCTTGTGATTTAAGAGTTTGTCAAGCAGTGACTCTTTTGAATAAAAGCAACATATCTAAAATTAAAGAGTAGCTGTTATTGTCTGGTTTCTTTGACACTGCTTTAAAATTCGGAACTCCTGAAATAGCATTCAATACAATGGTTGCAGTGGCTTTCTTTTTCACCTCATCACGTTTCTAATTAATTTTAAAATTTTAAATGTAGAAATGTTTTTGAGAAAAATTATTTAATGTGGGCAGTCTATATTAATTCTGGACAATAAGGGTGAGATTGGAATCAGTACCCTTGCACCCTGATTCCCCACCCCTATTTCTTTTGAGTGTGTATTTTACTGAAACTGTATAGTTGATAACTGAAATGTTCTTTTCTGAGTCTGAGGGATAGGAAAAGGGCACTCAAGGTTTTAAGGCCCTAAGGCTTAAAGAGTTTCCCAAGACCAGGTTAGTAGGCTTTAAGGGCTGCCGACAGGAGGCGATCCTGTCACAGAGATAAAGACAATCGTAGAGCTTTTGCTGTTCAGTCAGAACCAGACCATCTTCACAGCATCAGTATTTGTTTGAAGCATCGAGTTCCTGACTGCAAGCAAACCTCAGCTGTTATCAGTCACTGTCCCCTCCACCCACTGCCTCCTCTGACTTGTCCCATGTCCAGAACGGGGCATGAGGGGAGTACACACCCGTTAGACAACACTGAGCATGTCTGAACACTGTCCTTTTTCTTCCAGATTAGTGGCCTTTTAAGGGGAATGTAGTATGTGACATAGGAGAGGGCTAAGGGCTAAATAAAGATGTTTTAAACTTCACTACATCTAACAGTTTAGATTTTAATTAATTTTAAAACACAAAATTTAAAAATAACTACTTAAAAATATCTAATAATTCAGATCAAAACACTCACCCTGCTAATCGGTCTTAGAGGAAACCTATAGTTAACATCTACATGGAAATTAATCTTCGTTTCACGAATCCTAGAATGTTAACAGCTGTAAGGGACCTTAGAAACTGACTAGTTTTTGTGTTTTCTCTGTGAAAATCAGATAAAACCTATGGATAGCTTCCCCAGAAAAATGCATATATACACATACGTATAGTTTTGATTCATTTTCAGGGGATTCAAAGAGCTGACCATTCATGGATTCCAAATTAGGAACTCCTCAGTCCTACAGCCTAACTCTACAGATGAAGATAATGAGGCCCAGAGAGAATGAATGTGAGGGTATTTTAAAATAAAAACTGTTTATAGAAAAAGCAGCATAGTTGGATAGAAACTAAAATCTAAACTGTTAGAGATCAGTGAGTTTAAGGCATCTTTAGGCCTTGGCCTTCTCCAACATCAAAAAAGTGGTACATTTTTCTTCAGTTTATCAAGCAAGAAGACAAAGTGTACCCTTCTAGAAAAACTGAGACAAAACCTACCCTTTTAAGGTCAAGGGTTAAATTTTCCTTTTTCCCTAAAAAGTGTTCTATTAGTAAATGAATTAGCTCCCGGCCTCTGAAGACTCTGAAGAACATCAAACTTCTAACTATCCTTCAGTTCATCCCTATTTATTCCCTTTCCCTTAAATGGTCATATAAAGCTACGCATATATTCACTTTCGATATTTACTGAAGTGGTCAGATGAAGAGATCATAAGAGCATATAAACGTCTCTCTCATTCTCTAAAAAAAAAATGGCAGTTTTGCCTATCTTGTGTGGCCCTTGTTTGCTTAATAAGCTATTTTATTAAAGTAGAACAAATACCAAACATCTTATAGAGGTCAGATGATGAACTATCATAAAGTGAACACACTGTTTAACCATCACTTTGGTCAAAAGATGCATTACCACCATCCCATAAGCCCCCCTTCATTGCCTCTCTCCCCAAAAGTAGCCTCTTCTGACTTTAGTTTACCTACTTTTGTTTTTTCACTCTACAAAAAACAGAATCATATAGTGTATTTCTTTTGTGTCTGACTTCTTCAACATTATGTTTGTTAAGAATCATCCAGGTTGTAGGACTGCTTTATTTTAATTGCTATATAGTATTCCACTGTATGACTGTACCACAACTTACTCAACTATTAATGGACGTTTGGGTTGCTTCCATCAACATTTTTAAAAAGCAGACAATCATCTTTGAAAAGTAAAAATGCTTCCTTGAAGTCACCCCTTGACAAGTAAGGAACAGTTATTCCAGCCTTAGGAAATGTTAAGAAATGGGCAAAGGAGAAGCCAATGATGGGTGCAAGTTAGTTTAGAGGTACTGAAAATTATTTTTCTATTAAGCAAATAAATTGATTTGCAGACCACACTGTGAAAATTCAGTTCGGGGGACTGTTTTTTACAAAGAAAAATACAACCTTTAGTTCAGTTCAGTAATATATATATTTTAATTACATTCAATTCACCTTACCAGTAAATTTACCATTTTCAAGTAAGGAAACATTAGGATGATAGTCAACAAATAATAAAAATGTTTATTTCATTTCCAAATTATGGATAGCTAGAAGACAGAAGGGGAGGGGAGAACAGAACTTGGCTGAGGGAAATCCAACCAAACGACTGAAATGACTGGATCACAAGCCTCAAAAGGGCACCCTGGACTGGCTGGGGAGCTTCCATGCTTCTTTAGTAGCCTGCATTCCCAACCTCAGAACTATTTATACTTTCTTTCACGTCTGACATTCCTCAGTCCTACAACCCCAAAGCTTCCGGAATCAATCCCTCCCCTCCCAGGCCTCTATCCTGTTGGGGGACATAGTTTTTTTTTAATTTTTTTTTTTTAAGGCCATCAGCATCTCAGTAAAAGGCACCACCGTCCATTTATCTTAAGTGCTCCAGCCAGAAACTCACGCTCAAGTCACCCCCGATATCTTGATCCTTTTCCTCCTCATTCTTGTTTCCATCCATCAGCAAGCTCTGGTGCTTCTGCCCCTTACACGTGTCTCTGCTGCCACCACCTCAGTCCAAAGCTGCCAACCTCTTGCTTGCCTGAAACAGCCCCTTAGTTGGTCGGCTCACTTTCGCTGTTGCCCCTCACTGATAAACTCTTCCTTTAACAGCCAGAATGACTTTTTCAAAATGTTTAAATGGCTGAGCGGCTTCCCACTGCGCTAACATCCAGACCAACAACTTGCTGCTCTTCAACCTCACTTCATGCCCTCCTTCCCTGGCTCATGGGCTCGACCACACAGCCTCCATTCAGCTCCCAGAAAAGACAAAACTCCTTCCTGCCTCAGGGTCGTAGCACACACTCCTTGGGCCAGGCACGCTCTCCCCAGCCTGCCCACCTTCCTTCTTTACACCGCTACATGTTTTTCCCTTCCTCTGGTTCTCAGATTCAACGGCCCCCTTCTCAGACAGTAGGCAGTGACCTCTCCTCCGCCCTCATTCACCCTTCCAGCGTTCTAACGTATTCGGGCATCTTCGCACAGTGCGATTCTCTTTATATTTTTTATTGTACGCCTTCCCCTCAGTAGAACATAAGCGCTATGAACACGGGGGCTATACTAGTCTTGCTCACTTCATCACGAGCCACGAGATTACCGGCACCCACGGAAGAGGCAAAACCTCCCTCCGACTGAAAGGCGCGTCAGCTGTTGGCGATTCCCGACGCAGCACCTGGGGACGGGCTGAGATCGCTACAGCAGCCAACAGTCTCGGCCCGCCGGCTGCGTGCGGGCGTCCGCCCTCGCTGCTAGGCGCCGGGGCCTGGGCTCCTCAGAGCCTCGCGATACCTGAAGAGGCAGGTAAGGCGATGGAGGCCAGCGGGCTGGGAGAGGAGGAGTCCACCTAGTTCTAGGAATCACGCCATCTGTGGCCGCGCTTTCAGAAAAAAGAGCGCAACTGCCCAACGCCCTCAGGTTTACACCTGCCCTACTTTAGCCCAGCGGACCCAACAGACCGTCTAGCTCTCCACCCTACACCGTCCGGGATAAGTAACCCAGCGAAGCACCGTGGGGGCGGAACCGGCGCTGGGCTCCCGCCCACTCCCCCTCCCCTCCCCCCAGGCAGTTCCTTCTTCCTTCCGGAAGCTCGGAGGCCCCGCCCACTTGCGCAAGGCCGAGCCCGCCTCGCGACACGCCGGGCCTCAGCCAATGGCCTGCGTCCCAGGGAACGTTACCTCTGACCTCAGGGCTAATCAGAGACAGTAGGACGAACTCATCGCGAGAGGTGAGGTTGAAGCTGCCTCCGCCATTTTGGAGATGGGAGACGGGCGATGGCTGTGGTCCTTCTGCTAATGCAAACAACAAAACGAGCACATGAGTCACTCCGAATAAGGCTCTCATCACTCTAACTGCTGACCAAAACTACAGAAGCAGCGAAGGTGTCAAAGCCGAGCGCGGCGACATCGATAGCAGCCTCAACTGCCTGCTGGGGCGGCAGAAGTTAAGTAACTGAGGACCGGAAGGATGGTGCAGTCCTGTTCCGCCTACGGCTGCAAGAACCGATACGACAAGGATAAGCCCGTTTCTTTCCACAAGTAAGTACTCTGCGCGCCCCGTGGGCTCGGCCCCTAGTGGGGCCAGGGGCGCGCGGCCGTGCTCAGGGGCGGAGCCAGGCGCGTGTCCGCGCGAGACCTGTGAGGGGGCGGGGCGAGGGGCGGAGCTAGGGGCGGGGCGCCGTCGGCGCTGCGGGCCAGGAGCGGTGGGCTCGTCCCCGGAGTAGCCGCCGGCGCCCCGCCCCGGGTGGCGTTCTCGGCGCGCGTCGCTGCGCCGGCCTGTCCTCGCGCTTAGGTTCGCGCGCCGCTCGGGGTGGCAGGTTCGGGGTCCAAGGGCGATGCCTGGAGCCCCGGCGGGTCGTGAGGTCTCCAGACCCGGAGGCAGCTGGTTTCATCACCCGGGTCGCGGAGTAGGCAGGTGGTAATGAGTCTTTAGAAGGGAGGCTGAAGCAGCAGCAGCGACGGAGAAGGCCCGCGTTTCCCCTCTCTGCTGGAGGGGGCGTGGGACGGTCCAGCGTCGCAGCCGTTAGGACTGACTTGGCCAGGCGTTCGGGAGGATGTTTTGGACCCAGTTTCTAGGACCCCACGTTCAAGGACCAGTGAGTTTCCCAGAAAGGTTCACGTACTGCCAAGATGAAGAGCTGTGTTTCGCGCACAGCGGCAGCGTGGGCAGTAGCAGGGTATCGTGCGTGGGGAAGAGCACTCTCGGAGGGAACGCGGCCCACCGCCCTCGGGGCTGCTTCATCCGGGAGGTGCCGCGGCCGGAGTCCGAGGAGGGACGGTCTTCTCTTGAGAAGAAAACCGCAGAACGGAATGATAGTGATCGTTCGATGTCTGCACGGTGCCATTTTCATTCAGCCAAATTCAGTGTTCACAAGTTTTACTACGTTAAGAAAATGTGGCCGTAACTTACGACTGTAAGTGGATAATAGCTAAAGAAATGAGAGTTAGTGATAAATCATACAAATTATTTATAGCTAAGTAATTACAAAAGCAAAAGCAAATATTCAGTTTGGGGGTGGGGACCTTTTTAACAGGGAATGTGGGTGCATTTTATAGGTTTGATAGAATATGAGAGGAACAGAAATAAGAGTGTCTAGAGCATAGAGAGAACTTTTTTTTTAAGATTTTAATTAAAAAAATAATTTTTTATTTTTGGCCGCGTTGGGGCTTTGTTGCTGCACACGGACTTTCTCTAGTTGCGGCAAGCGGGTGCTGCTCTTCGTTGCCATGCGTGGACTTCTCATTGCGGTGGCTTCTCTTGTTGCGGAGCCTGGCGCGGGGGCTCAGTAGTTGTGGCTCACGGGCTTAGTTGCTCCGCAGCATGTGGGATCTTCCCGGACCAGGGCTCTAACCCGTGTCCCCCTCATTGGCACGCAGATTCTTCTTATCCACTGTGTCACCAAGCAAGTCCCTTTAAAGAGATCTTGAGTATTGATGTTTCCCCTTCCGAGAAGGGGATAGAACACTTAACACTTCCAGGATTCGGTTCAGTATGTCCTACTATTACCTCTTGATTTATTAGAATTTCTGAAAGCTGATGAATTGACCTCCAGGACTTCCAAAGTGAAGGAGTAGGTCTGGAGATGGTGATGTGATCAAAGGCATTCAGTTCCCACCTCCCCATTTCTAATGATATGGCAGAGGGAATCTAAACATAGGGAAGACCCTTCATTGGCACTGCAGACTGGTTAAGGATGACATTCACACATCAGAAATACTGAGTTTCTGCTGGCTGTTAAATAGTCAATTTAATCGAAAGAAGGGCTAACCTGCCTCTAAGCCCTTATCTAAAAGAACAGTTTGGGGAAATAAATGGGAAAGATCTTGACCTCAGAAAGAACCTGCATTGTAGTCCTTGAGTCTGGAGGCCCTGAGTGCTGAGTTTTACCAGTGATTGCTACCATGTTTGTACTTCTAGAGGCACTTCCAGCAGGAACCTTCTAGGAGCCCTTTTCTCACTTTCTACCTGATGGCAGTGGGAACAGCTGTGCTGGGCAAAGAAAAGGGACTGCCCCAACGGTGGGTTAGAGCTTCCTGATCACAGCAGAGCCAGGCTCAGGCGTACCTCACTTGGAAGAGGAACTGTGGAACACAGATGTAAAGCACCCTTTTTTGGCTTCTTTCCAATCCCCCCAGCTCACTACATCCTTGACCTGGAAGAATAAAATCACAATAAGTTTAAGCTCTTCCTAGCTCCCTTTATCTGGGCCTAATGGACATATTTCAGTTGATTAAGAGGTAATTCGAAATGAATACTTTTCTCTATTTCTTTCTCACTATGATTTAACTAATTTGATTAATTCATATTTGTCATACTGATTCTAAGAGAACCAAAAGCTTCTTTTTCTCAGTACATAGTTATAAATGTGCAATTTTGTTTTACAATACGCAGAAAATCACTGGTGAAAAAATAGTTAATACAAATTTCACTCTATAGCATGTATTTTTACCTGAAACTTTTAGTGTCTTCAGTATAAAAGTTAAGCATTAAAAACTGAGATAAACAGATAGTGGACCTATACGATTTACCCTTGTGTATTTAGATGTGTGTGGAATCCCTGTATCTGTTAGTGAAGGTTATTTACAGTATCGCTGCACGTGGGCCTCGACCCCAGCCTCCCATCACTTAACTCTGCCACCTGCGTGCATCTATCCACATGGCTACCTTTTAATAAGAATATTTTTTTATAATGTAAATTCTTAATCAGCCTGTCCTGTTTAGATTGTATATGTCATTGTATCTGACATTCTTATAGCTGCTATGTGATCAATCAGATTCCTGTAAGAAATATTGCTTTTTAAGAAGAACAAAGATACCATGCTGGGAGGGGTGACTTATATTCCACATTAGTGGTGGTCACTTTAGTTATAGGATTTTAAAAGAAGTACATTTTTAAAAAATTTACTTGATTCAAGTCTAGTTGATTTATAATGTGTTAATTTCTGCTGTTCAGCAAAGTGATTCAGTTATGCATATGTATACATTCTTTTTCGTATTCTTTTCCATTATGGTTTATCTCCAGATATTGAATATAGTTCCCTGTGCTATACAGTAGGCCCTTGTTGTTTATCCATTCTCTATATGTAATAGTTCGAATCTGCTAATCCCAAACTCCCACTCCATACCTCCCCCTCTCCCACCCTTGGCAACCACAAGTCTGTTTTCTATGTCAAAACAAGTACATTCTCAACAAACTAAGGTAATAAGGACGCAACTAAACACTGTCAAAAAAAACAACAACAAAGATTGGCAGGGCTGGTGTTTTAATCAAATGCCTCCTTGGTGTGTTAATACCGATGGAAGCTAGTTCTTTTCTAAGCAGGAAAGTCTAGGTGTGCCTTTTTTTTAAAAATAAGGTTGGAAAACTGAATTATGTCGCCTTCTTAGGTTTCCTCTTACTCGACCCAGTCTTTGTAAAAAATGGGAGGCAGCTGTCAGAAGGAAAAACTTTAAGCCCACCAAGTACAGCAGCATTTGCTCAGAACACTTTACTCCGGACTGCTTTAAGAGGGAGTGCAACAACAAGTTACTGAAAGAGGATGCTGTCCCCACAATATTTCTTTGTACTGAACCACATGACAAGGTAATAAGTGTTTTAAAATATTGGGTGGTTTTCTGTTTATAAGATTAATGTGTTCACTGTGGAAAATCCAGAGTAGTGTTAAGAAAATAAATGTTGCCTGGAACCCATCACTTGTAGATAACCACTGTTCACAGTGAAATACTTTTAAAAAATACAAAGTGCAGTTTATTAAAGTTAAATATCCTCACACTAAGAAACTCAGTCTAGCTTCATAACTTACTTTGAGATCACTCTGTAGTCCTACCCACATGTTGATAAGTTTTGATTTTTCTTTGTCAGTGATAGTTCAGTTTCAAAGTATTTTTCCCCTCAGTTTTAAGTGCTTAATATTTAATTAAATCTTAATAATCATTCTGTGTTCCTTGCATCCCATTTCTATTTCAGAAAGAAAAGTACAATTAAAACTTGAACTGTTTTCTCATTTTAGAATGTTTCTATGCCGAGGAGACAGAAATGAGTCTAGTATTCTTAAATTCCACAGATGAGTTCTTGTGAACTGTTTCGTCATGAAACTGAAACGTGCTCTGCATCTTTGTTTTAGAAGGAAGATCTTCCAGAGCCCCAAGAACAGCTTCCCCGACCTCCTTCAACACCCCCGGTTTCCCAGGTTGATGCTGCTATCGGGTTACTCATGCCTCCTCTTCAGACCCCTGATAACCTCTCCGTTTTCTGTGACCACAACTACACTGTGGAGGACACCATGCACCAGAGGAAGAGGATTCACCAGCTCGAACAGCAAGTAGAGAAGCTCAGAAAGAAGCTCAAGACCGCACAGCAGCGGTGCAGAAGACAGGAGCGGCAGCTGGAGAAGCTAAAGGAGGTCGTGCACTTCCAGAAGGAGAAAGACGACGTCTCCGAGAGGGGTTATGTGATTCTACCAAATGACTATTTTGAAATAGTTGAAGTCCCAGCATGAAGAGTGAAATTTGTGTTGGTGTCCAGTGGGGCAATACCACCTACCCTCTTCTAGCCTGTAGAGGAGTTTCATTTGAAAAAAATTACACTTGGTCACTTGTATAAAAACAGTTCAGAATATTTTTTTAAAAGAATAAATTAGATATATACTGTAAAATTGTAAATGTTTTGTTTGTAATTTCAGGGTTTTTACATTTTAACAAAATATTTTAAAAGTTATAAACTAGCTTCATTGTAAGTTGGTTTCAAGATTGGGGATTTTTGTTTCTTAATTTGAGTATTTATAGAAATGATATGAAAATAAAAAGAGAATGATAACAGTGCAGTAAGGATGATTTAAGTTTAAAATTTTAAATGAAC